TTCAAATCCACTACAGAAATGGGAAATTTAAAAGATTTTATCTATGCATAAAAAATTAATATGGCTTCTCAGAGTGGACCATTATTTAGTTATTCTTTAATTATTAATATTTCAAACAAAATTCACAGGACATGCAGGAAAAAAAAGTGTCTTATTTAGACATACTTGCCAAAGGAGATGAGAATAAAGGTTTAAACAAAATTGCATATTCTTTCATTTAGAGTTGAATGACTCTTTCCCCAAATTTCAGACAATACATTCTATTTATTTCTCGCTCAACTGTATCTTCTTTATAGTGACTTGGTCTTTCATTCTTCAGTAAGGTAGACAAAATAATTTTTTCATTATATTTCAATTGTTTCTAAGAAGTTTTCTGTTGAATTTTAATTGTAGTAGCTATAATTAACTGTTGAAAGTTTAAATACATATTTAAATTACTTCTATCCACCATAATAGTTGATGTCTATCAGTCAGCACTAGCACTTTATGGAAAAAAATACTAAATGCCAGCAGTTCATTTTTTCAGGCCAATAATGTGAAAATGATTGTAATTACTGCAAAAAATATTTGTAGGTTAAGCTATATCTCAAGAAGCAGAGCAATTCAAATATATGAAGAGTAAGACGATATCCAGTATTCACAAACCTCCCTACTAGATTGAGAATTGCAGTCAACAATTTAGTCCCCTTATAGTTAAGTTTTTCATTTACGGTTGGACAAGTGAAAGCTATATTCCCCTGCTGCGCACCCTAGTTATGGACTTTGTTCATTGTCATTGCAAGAACAACTTAAAATACTAAGGTCATAGAGAGTAAACAAGGAAATACAAATTTCACCAGAAACTTGAATTTAGAGTTATGACTTTAGTGCACTTAATCACTCCAATCAAATGCTTAGGCAGGTAATTATGCATAGGAAGGTAAGTTTTTAAAAGAGAGTATGAATATTTTATCAAATTCTAAATAGGAAGCACTATATAAGAAAATCAGATTCTAAAAAATTAATTCAACATATTGTTTATGTGTATGTATGCAAGTGTTGCTTTCAAAAAATTTCCAGAAAAAAGAATAGTGTTTCCCACTCCTATTTATTCTTAGATGATTGTTTAATAGTGAAGTCAGTTTACATGTGAAGACATTTTGAATAATCCTATTAAAAACCAATTCAAACAATGTGGCTCATGTTTAACTCTTCAGTTATTTATCCATTAATCTCTTTAAGTGCTTCCTTCCTTAACACAGCTGTAGTTCAAGAGGTGGCCAGCAGTTGGCCCCCATTTCAGCGGATTTTCATGAAAGTCCAGATTTCTTTCTGCAAACTTTTAAATGCTGTATGCCTAAATAATTTTTTCATAACTTAAGAGCTTATAAAAAGCTTTCAAAAAGATCCCAAAGAAACAGCTTCTTTTAAAAATAAAAACCAAACAAAAGGAAGCCACACACACTGTAAAGATGTTCTCTGCAAAACATTCTGTTTGGCAAATCTGAAATGTCTCCAAAGGGATCAAGAACCACTTGGTTTGGAAGCAACAGTTGAGAACTCATAACAAGTTGGTTAAAAGCCAACAGTGACAGCCATGAGGAGCTCCTTAAAGCAGATTAGGAGTGGCTGAGACACCAGGCACTGGGCCTTGCCTAGTCTCCCCATTCCACTTATGTGGAATGCCTTTAACTGTACCATTCAAACACACAGCACAAAAGCCTTTGTCCTTGGTCCTCTGTTCTTTTCTCCTTTTACGCTCTCCCCTAAAGATTGCAACCCTTCTAACTATGATGTTTATGGTGACAACTCATAAACCTACATCTCTGTTTCTGTTCCATCACCCAAACTAATCCCTTATCTCCAAGTTCCGACTTAACTATTTCCACCAGGATATGCCATCATCATCTCACACCCAACACATACAAAACAACAAACTCATTCATCTTTATCAAATGAATTCCCTCTTTCAGTTTCCTTGTCTTTGTTAACATCAATCTCATTTTTCTGGTCACCAAGAATTAAACCACAGGAATAATCTTGGACTCCCTGGTGACCTCCATTGCTCACATTCAGTTGGTTCACGTGGCAGAGTGCATTTTTCAAAGATGGCCTCCACAATATCGCCCACCCCACGTGTATTTCTACGATATGATCTTGCCACTTTGCCACCCAACAGTGGAGTCTAATTCCTCTGCCCTCACATCTGGATGGGCCTTAAGACTCACTTATAGGGGCCGGCCCGGTGGCGCAGCAGTTAAGTTCGCACGTTCCGCTTCTCAGTGGCCCGGGGTTCGCAGGTTCGGATCCCGGGTGCAGACATAACACCGCTTGGCAAAAAGCCATGCTGTGGTAGGCATCCCACATATAAAATAGAGGAAGATGGGCATGGATGTTAGCTCAGGGCCAGTCTTCCTCAGCAAAAAGAGGAAGATTGGCAGTAGTTAGCTCAAGGCTAATCTTCCTCAAAAAAAAAAAAAAAAAAAGACTCACTTATGACCAAAAGAATGTGACTAAAGCAATGCTATGAGACTTCTGAGGCTAGGTCAGAAAAGACCATGCAGTTTCTGCCTGGTTCTCTTGGAATACTCTCTCTGAGGGAAGCCAGGTGCCATATAAGAATTTCAACTACACTAAGTCTACCATGCTGAGAGGCCACGTGCATTCCCAACTAGGCCCAGTCTTCTAGCTATCCCACCAAGGTCCCACAAGCATGAATAAAGCTGTCTTGGAGTCTCCTGACCAGTTCATCTGCCAGCTGAATGCCACCAACTGAACTCAGTAAACACCCTGGGCAGAAGAATCACCCAGTTGAGTCCTGCTCTAATTCTTGACACATAAAATCATGAAATATAATAAAATATGTCCACAGCTTTCCTTCTAAGCATTCAATACATCATGTGTGGGGTTGTTACTATGTGGGGCTGGATGTTAACTGAGATGTCACTTCTTCCTCTCCATTCCCAGAGCCACTGTCACAGAAGCAGCTCTCATCACCTCAGATCTAGATCGGTATAACTGACTCCAGGCTCTCCTCACTACAGTCTGTCATTACAATTAATCTAACCTAACATTTCCAACTGAAAAACTACTTTCACACACCAACACCACAACCAACTTCAATCTCATGATGTTTTACATTTGTAAAAAGTTGTATAATGCAAAACAATCTTCATAAACATCTATTTTACTTGATCCATACAGCAAAGCCACAGAGATCTGCCAATAGGGCAGATATTCTTTTCCTCACTTTAGAGATGAAGAGCCCAGAGGCTAAGGAGATAAACTTTTGCACAATCTCACTGCCAATAAATGGAATAGATACAACTAGAATTAAGAGTTTGTGTCACAAATTATTGTTGTTTTTCTATTCTACGATGCCTCCCATGATCTACTTCAGATCAAAAATGTTCAGTGCCTCTCTCCATCCCTCCTACAGCAAACCTGCTTTCTAGGTATCCATATTTGGCCTCAATCTCTCCAGTTGTAAGATATTACCTACTAGCTCCACTATAATCAGGCTGGCTTATTTACTCACTTAACAATACGACATGCTGAACATTTGCTCACAAAGCTTCCTCCTTCTCCTCCTATCTACTTAAACCTTCCTCATGCATTAGCACAAATTCCACCTCCTCCTCCAGGCCCTACTAGCCTATCCCTGTTGGTCTCTCTCTCTGCTATTCCTACGGAATTTGTACATTTCACCCAAATTTCCACAACCATATTGGATTGTTTATCTTGTCCAAGTGTGCCAGTCTTATTTTCCAGGCTAGTATTCAGCTAACACAGATCCGCACATACGGCGATGCCGGGTGCTAACAGCCAGTGTCTGTTCTGACCAGTCAGTGCCCATGACACACCATTTGTTAAATATTTTGAACTTCACCCCTGCCTATTTCCCCAATTAAACCATAAGCTCTTTGAAAACAGGAACCTCGTCTTATAAAGAAGTATTATATCCTCCAAGCCAAGGACAGTAGTAGGCACACAGCTAGTGCTCAATATATATTTGTTAATTGATTTGAAGGGAGTGAAGTGTGCTGTGTTGTGAGAAGAAAATATTCCTAAGTCATGTCTACACTGGAAAGAAAGAGTTGAAAAGATGATAAAATATTTTCAAGATCAGCAGTTTAACGTCAGGGACATTTTTTAATGTATCATTTCAAGATATTCTGTGTAGCCCATAACTGCCAAACTGTTTTATAAATGTTTTTACCAGGAGTGTGAAGAAAATGTTTCAAAAATATTCAAGGAGTAGATGTCTTAACAGCCCAAAATAAAATGTTTGCTGAGGCTACACGGCTGGCAGAACTCTGCTTCATTTCAAAAAGTTTCCAGGCAATGGAAATGTTTTCCTGGAAAATACTACCTTTTATTTAGAGAACACTTGCCATGAACACTTAGTCATTAAGTAATTTAAGGTTTCCTCACAAGCTTTTTGGAGGAAATCTATTATACGAATGAACGAAATTATCAGCACCTATAATGTCGAAAAAAATACGTTTGGCTAAATATATGAAATCTACCAAAGTATTTTTCCAAGTAAGGGGGAAAAATCTCTTATACTGTTTGGTCTATTTACAGTTCTTTTAAAATTTTCTATATGATAAAATTACCCAAAAAAGCACAAAATCCTTAAGCGTTTGTCTGTAATATACACAAACCCCAAAACTGGAGGGCTTATTTTATTCCAAATGCCAAGTAATTTTCAAACAGACAAAACACTCATTTCATTCAATGAAACGAAATGGTAACTTCAAAGCTATTTTTAGCAAAATCTTTGAGTTTGCTTCAAATCACCTTTCAACGAGAGAGCAACTTGGTTTGGACATTTCATTCAATCATCTACAGTAAATCATACAATGAAACCTAAGAAAACAACTTCTTCTAAGAGTTTTGAAGCCAACCAAGTCTTATTCTTTCAAACATCAAAAGACAACTAAATTCTACTTCGAGCACATGGTTTGTACATTGAGTCTTTTAAAAATGTACACAAAAGGATATTTGTGTTGTTTTACCTGTTTAGGATTTCAGTGAGTTTCACAAAGCCAGTGTAAGCCAGTTCAAATGCTCCTCTGTGCCTGGACTGTAAAAGGTGTTGTTTAAAGTAATCTCCAATTTCTTTTACCTTTAAAACAAAATCAGAAACAAATGTTCGATTTATGCTTACATTTACAGATGTATTTATGTCAGTAATATCATTTAGAACTCAGGTCTAGCTGTCCATCCATTTAGCACCTACTATGTGACAGGCGGTATTTTAAGCACTTTTATAACATCACAATTAATCCTTACAATTATTCCATGAAATAAGTACTGTTATTATCTCCACTTTACAATGGGGAATATAAGGCCAAGTAACTCATTCAAGGTCACACAGCAAGTAGGTGGTAGAGCCAATACACAAACCTAGGCAGTCTGGCTCCATAGCTGACCATCTTTAACTGCTACACTCGAACTGCCTCCCTATGCCAGCTTTAGAAACCTCACTGTGTTCTCTTTGTTATCTCATATCATTCAACACCAACAGCAAATCACAGAAGGTGACAACCCTCACACACCTAGGTAAGATAATTACCTTTTTTTCCTCTTATAAAAATTTTTCTCTTGTGGTTAAAATATACATAACATAAAATTTACTAGTTTTACCATTTTTAAGTGTACAATGGCATTCAGTACATTCACACTGTTGTGCAACCATCACCACCACCCATCTACAAAACTTTTTCATTTTCCCAAACTGAAACTCCAAACTACTAAACAGTAACTCCCAAAAATTACCTTTTAGAGATATACAAATGTTAACAGCAATGCAAGATGTAGTGCAAAGGGCCTCCTAAAAATCGACAAGCTTCACTTTGAGTCAGAACCATGGGATTTTCCAAAATGCTACCCAACTGCTTTCCTACATGGTGTCTTCCTCCATGCAAGGTCAGACAAATAAAAAATATGACAATTTATTTTAAAGAAGACATGACTGACAGTTGCTGATGAAGGTTTGCACAGAATTAACTGTTAAATTGGTTGGGCTGATTGTATTTTTCCTCCATTAAGATTTAGTGTCTACTGGCTTTAGAAAATCCAGAATTTGTATAAAACTCAGGACCCTAGCTATAACTGGCTACCTCTTGACCCAGGTCTCTCCAGCAGATCATGATGGGGTATGGTGAAAAGGCAAGCTGACCCAAGATAGCTCAGAATCGCTTACCTAGAGACACCTTCCAGCTCAGCACAGTGACTAGATTAGTGTTCTGCACACATTAGAGATGATAAATCATACAAGGAGTAAACATGTGACCATGGGCAAGTGTCTGAGTTTCCTCATCTATAAACTGGGAATAATAACAGTATTTGCCTCATAGGTTGTGTATTAAAATGAGTTAATAAATCTAAAAGCTCAGAACGGGCATGTAACCTATAATACAGCTCAGTTCAGTATGAGCTCTGTCTGGGTTTCCAAATAGAAGAAAAGTAGTTTTTACTCTATACTCAAATATATCTGATTAGAGAGACAAGTGATACATTTAGGGAAATAAGAATCAGACATGAGACCAACGAAGAACTAGAAAAGCAATATATAATAGAATTTTTAAAATTCTAACACTTTAATATCCCAAAGAGTGACATGTCACGTTCTTCAGTTAATGTTTTCAGGTAAAGATCTGATGATACTCCTAATTTTTAATATTTTTTAAAGGTGACATACTACTACTTGTCAAAAACCAAAGTCAGGGTAAGCCTTATCATTTTATGTTCAATATAGTAATTTCAGAGAATATTTTGAACAGAATTATCAAGCCGTAAATCTGAACTTAACTCACAAGGTAGATGTAAAGCTCAATAATCCTACAAAATGGGGACCAGAAGAAACACCAGTTAGCTAACTTATTATGACCATCATTTCTATTATTAGAGACATAAAAGAAGATTTCCAAGAAAGTATTTTAAGCCACAGAATATAAAAACAGGAAGTCACAGAGATGGGGTCTCTCTAAATTCCTTAATTTTTTTTTTCAGAATGTTACAGATATTAAAACATACTTCAGGAAAACATAAAGGTTACTGGTAAAGCGCTTCTGGACTTACAACAGTTCACAATCTAGTTCTTAACCAAAGATCAGATTTTCCTTGCTTCCTTTATCCTAAATCCTTTCAAAGTGGCATAACCCAAAAAGCACATAATAAAATGAAAGACTTGAGAAGTGTGACTAACGGATGGTCTTCTCGAGAGTGGACCTCCATCCTAGGTAACCCTGGCCTCAGAAAACAGAGTGAGGTTCTAAGACATAAGTGAGAGGTAGACAGTTTTTCCTCATTCCATTTTGCATTTCATTTCCCAACAAACCCAGCTGGGTAATACCCACGCTTATTATGAATTTTTCCTTTGAAGAGAGTATAAAATGTCTGTTCATCAGACAGTATTTCTTCAGCACCCACCAAATGCTGAGCAGTTCAGTGCTCGTGCTGACAGGGAAGGACAAAACAAGATGTCTCTCCTCAGGAGGCTATCGGCTCAGAGAAAACCACTAGTCTAGGTGGTACCCATTAGAAGCTTAACAGCTCCAAGAAATGAAAGATCCTTCTGCACTGAAATAAATGATTAGAAAAAGCTTCATGTCCAGACCTTAAACAGGATATACTTGGGTGAACCACATGGAAGAGGATAATTAACAGGAAAAGAGGCTGGAATACTAGAATGAATGAATAAACATTTATTAATACCTGCTACCTGCCACTTTACTGGGTCTTTTTATATGAATGAACACAGAACATACAGGAGAGGGTTAGCAGATCTGGCTGAACGGCCTCGAGGTTTCATGCCAGAAAACTGTGGAAGATAAGCTTGCAAAGATGGGATGTACCTCATTAGAAAGGGTGGGAGGAGTCAGCAGGGCAGTATGGTCTATGAGAAGCTGGACAGGGAGAAGGGGCGGTGCTGATACCCTCCCACTGGATAGTCAGACGACAAGGAACATATTTGACCCAAACGACTTGGAAAATTAATGACAACAGTTGAATCAGAAAAAGAATTTTTAAATTTAATTTAAAAAGTGAAAAAGTCCCCTGAGAATCTAACTCATTTGTCTTTCTATTAGATACCACTAAGTTCCTATTTAAAGTTCACAAAAAGCTTCCTTTTAACAGGGATGATGTCTTTAAAAAATATTTTCTTAATAAATAACATATATCTCAGGATTTTCTGAAGGGAATTAAGGTAAAAATGCAATTAAAAAAAGGCACTGATTTCTATTCTTAAAATTAAATTCTAGTCATTGTCTCTTTAAGTTTAGCATACGCTGGTTCTAACTTTTCATAAAACCTAGTTCTATAGACAAATTAATATGCTTATGGATTTACAGGGTGTAAATTTCCATAGGGGAAGACAGCTACATGCCATGTCTCTAGGCATCTAGAATTCACCAACAGACTAATTAGGGGAGCTCATCTAGAGCATGAAACTGACAAAGGACAAATGTAGATAAATTTTTTATTTGTCCTTTAGAATAGAGAGAAATACAGTAGAAAAATCAAAGCTAATTCCATTCATTATAAATTAGATAAACCCAAGGTGGGACGTTTCTACAAAGAGTAGGTTAAGATCTGAGACTCTGGAGCCAAGAGGGCTGAGCTCAGGAACCCTACTCGGCCTCCTGACTAATATAAGCGAATTAAGCAACAGTTCCCTCATCTGTGAAATGGGCATAAAGCTAGAACCTACTTCACAGGATTATTCTGAGAAATAAATGAGATCATGCATATAAGCATGTAGCAGAGTACCCGGCACAGAGGAGCAATCAATATTGCTAAGTGTCCACTTTTGTTTTTATTTTGTATCATCAAGTAGTGAAACTTAATCCATAAACCTTAATTTAAATTTTAACTTTAAGACACAGCGAGTTCTTATAACCTGAGGAATGTTAACAGGAGTTTCTAATTCCACTTTGGTTAAACGGAGCAGTTTATAAAAGTTTACACTACAGTAAGAAAATTAATGTTTTAAACTGTCCATTCTCCACTATAGTGATTTCTTACTAACACCCGGGATTTCTTCAAAGACCAAACATTGTTTTCCTAAATAATAACAATAAAGATAAGTTTTCTGGTATTTATACTTCTTCTTACCAGAACGTTTATTCTTTGCTTTCCAGAAATTCTTAATCACCTGCCATTTTAACTACTGCTCTTTAGTCTGACTTTTTAAAATGAAGTTCTGTCTTTATCCCCTATTATATTTCTAAGCTCTCTGAGGTCAGAAAACCACACATTATACTTCTTCACGTTCCCACAACACCCTTGTAGCAAGGCAGTCAATAAATAGGTGACAAAATGATGTGGTTACACACTCAACTTCATTTCACAGCTTAAAAAATTCAATAAGTACTTATTCATAATTTGTAAAAAACAAACTTTGGCAAAGGAAAATACAAAAGGCAATTTAAGATTTATGAATGTACTGAACGTACATCCCATTTATAGTCCATTACAGAAAATCTCAAACAGTAACAAAAGACACTGAGGGAACATATAAACCCAGTTAGCCATATACATCATGAAAATTATAACAGAATCTAAAGTAGGAGTCAAAAAATAGGTAATTTATAATAGTTGGTAATTATTTTTATTCATATGATTTCTGTGGTAATAATTACCAGGAAGGCGAAAGAAGATAAAGAAGTCTACCCAAAAGCTTCTTTTTAGGCACACTAAGGGAAATACATAAACATACGAATTGATAGTCCAGGTGGAGGAAGTGGTTGAAAAAAACCCACAGGCACTGAGTGCACCACGGAAAGAGGAGCGACATGGTGAATCAAGCAAAATTCTACAGCAGCAAAGCATCCAGCTTCAAACCTAGACACACACCAGTCAGGAAGCTGTGAGATAAGGTTGCACGCACTGCTCACTCTTTCAGGGTTTTGACTTACATCCCTCAAAGCTGGTTTTCTCTCTGCCTCCTCTACAAGGATATTATGAAAGAACCTTTCATTACGTGATTACAGCGCAGAGGAAAGTCAGATGTACCTCTAAATGAACACATTTTCCTCTTGGTGAAGTCACGCAGGACACACTGGTTCACAAGAAATGATCCAGGGAAATGGATCACTTGCTAAAAAGTTCAGCAGCAAGTTGCCTTACTGTCCTGTTGCTTGCAAAAATTTGGTTGATTATGGGAAATAGGGAAAATTAAATTTAAAGAAAAATTAAATGAGCAGTTCAGAACAAAGGCAGCACTGTGCCGTGTCAGAACATAGGCTGGGAAGGAGAAGAATTGGGTTCCTGTCCCAGAGCTGCCACAAACCAGCTTTGTGATCTTGGGCAAACCAGGTAACATCCAAGGGCTTCAATTTCCCCTTGTACAAGAAAGCTGGATAATATCATCTCTGTGATCCTTCCAGCTCTAAGAGTTTGTGAATATAGCACTAAATATTCAGAATTAGAAACAAGCACCAGTTCTTCTCCTTATACAGCAATAAAAATTCCCAAATTGTAATCTTCCTACCTGCTGGCCTGTTATAAACTATACTCATGTAGGCAGATTTTAAGTGGTCACCCCTCTAACAAAGGGCTGTAAAATCAGGATGAGCCTAAAGGAACTGAGGTACGAAAAAAATCTTGCTTGTCTTCTATATTTGAGACCTCAAATTTCAAATTATAATAGAATCCTAATACTTTCTCAAGAGTGAAGGGTGAGTGGGTAGGAAGAGAAGCATCAGTCTGAACAGCAGTATTTTAGGTTGTATGGAACAGCTTCTTTCAGCCATTGAGAGAAAAGCAGATCACGGTTATTATTCCTCTTGGGAATAAGAAATTCAAGTTCCAAATTCTCGCCCACAACGGGCAGCATTCTGCCCACAAGTCACTTCACTGCCTCTGTCTCTGCAGGTCTGTTGTGGTCACCCTCACCTAAGGTGTTGACTCTTACATTCGTAGTTTTGCCAGCAGGTGCACAGACCTAGTGTTGCCAGGGCAAACACACCCTTGGAAGGAAGGGGTACCCTAGGCATGGCCCAGCCACCCCAACGTAAATTACATTCTTTTCTGTCAATTTATATTTTTAACTCAAAAGTTTTAAGTACATGGGAGTATTTTTTGTTTAAGGAAATTTCACGGAGCAAAATTTTATGTTTAACAGCAGGAATCCTCTAGTAATACGAATAACACTAATCTCTTGATGACTTTGGATTTTCACTGACTAAATGCTTCTAAACTGATGCATTTCTTTAGTTAAAGTCAGCATGATCAAGAACAAAGTTCTCCACAGAGGGCAGGGTTTCAAGGTCAGAAGACTGCTATCACATACACTCTTGACCGCTTATTCAGTCATTAATTTCTTCTCAAACATACATATGTGAGGTCACCATGTGAACATCGACATGGAAAATTGACTGGACCTCATTAGAATGGAAACTAATATTTTATAGAAAAACAGGATTCTATTTTTTATTCAAGCACACAGTCACTGGAGAGCTCTTTGGTTTCTAAGAGCCTTTCTTTGCTACTGCTGCTGTTTTACAAACATCTCTTTTATTTTATATTAATTCCCAATTTTAACATGGCTATCCCATGTAAATTAAATTCACAAGATTTGGGTGCTATGTAAATGGTGTCGAGGCAAAATGATTTTCATAGGAAGCTTTCAGGTCTTTCTCAGTTGCAGTAAAAGCAAAATATGTTTCCCTTACTTTTTTTTTTAAATACTATCCAACAAACCCAAAACACTAAATGTTTTAACTTGTCCTTGAAAAGTTAAGAAGTCAAGGGATTCTAGCACATGTTTACTTCTTAGTAAGACGGTGAACATCAGTGAAGTAATCATTAATCATAGCTGGATTCCTCAGCAAAGATGTTGGCATTGGCACTCTAGCCAGTCATCAGCATGACTGCAAGTAACTCTAGGACACTAACGCCTATTTGATTTGGAAGAGAATAAGGAACATAACGATGCCAGCAGTGTACTGTTTCCCTCTGCCGTTCTCCATCCCAAGGCATTGCAACATCACAAGCCCAGCTGTTATCCAGATGCAAGCACACAAGCCACAGAGAGTGTGAGAATAAAAATATTAGTATTATTTCCATGGAACAAGTCACATGGTTATTACAGAAATAATCAGCATTAGCATACTACAATATTTGTTTTGTTCTTAAATGTCGTAACACCCTAGGGGTAAAATTATCTTTATTTGAAAAAGGTTAAAAATGAAAGTACATGTTATATATCTTTGCTGGAAAATGGTGGGAAATGGATTTGTCAAAACCATATGAAAAGGAAGAGGGAATCAATTAAAACAGAAATCTAATAAATCTAAAATATTTCCAAATGAAATGCTTGTGGTAAGCTAATTTCTTGTAAACACTGCACTGAAGTCGTTTGAACAGTCCCAGATGGTGAACTAACTTTGTGGTCTTAAAATAAAAATCTGCCCAAAAAACTCAAGTGGCTACAACTTTATTATCAATGTAATGGGAAAAGTGAGATTGATAATCAACCAATACATTACTTTTATTTCTTGGCAAAATTTAAGAGGTTAGAGTATTACTAAATAGATAATTTCATTTAAATTTAAAATTTAAGTTTGTGTGTGTTAAATGGAGAAATAAAAATTAAAATGATAATATTAAAGTTAAAAGTGAAGTAAAATCTACTGTTATTTATATAACTTAGAAAAATAAAAATATTTCCTAAAATGCCATAGTTCTGAAATGTATTGCAAGCTCTGATTCCTAAACTACTGCTAACTTTCTTCGGTTAACATTTGTAGGATTTTATTCAAGAAAAATTCAAAACTCCTTTTTTTTAAAGTTGGGTTATAAATAAAAGTTTGTGATTTATGCTTTGACCAGAAATTATACCAGTTTGTGATTTATGCTTTAACCAGAAATTATACCCTACCTGCTCCACTGTCAACAATCCATCAGGAGATGCTGGCACAGACTGCAGAGGCAGAAGCTGGCACAGTGTGCCTAAAAGTAAAGCCACTTCCTTCATACTTCTCCAACAACATACCAGCACCATCTGAGCAGTTACATCACATGTTTTTCCTTCTTTACCTTAAAAAAAAAACAAAACTATTGCAACACGAGACATTTATTACTCATATCCCAGGTTTCTTAGAACAAGCTTATTCATACTTTCCCCAAGAATAATCCGCTTGAACAAACCAATTTGTCATGTTATATTTATTCAGGAAAAAAGAACATTTGTTGAGCATGTGCTATGAGTAGGAATCATGCTAAGTATTTTTTTAATATACTATTTTCAAAATAAATTTAAAAATAAAACAAAATATTGTTTCAAAATTAAGTTTCAAAACTTAAGTCTAACCTTTGGAAATTAATGAAACAAACTCTCTCTGCCTCTCAGTCATCCATAAAATATGACTATAATAAATATAGTTCATTATTTATTTTGGTGAGGATGGCTGTTACATCAATAAAGGAGTAGAGTAAGACTTTGAAAATCAAAGGGAAATACAAATTCTCTTTCAAAATATATTTAAATTCCATGGCCAATAAGCTATAATTATCCTTACTCTCTTTTTCTAGTTTTAGGAATATTTTAGTACTCACATTTAAAAAAAGAATCCAAGACAAACTATTAAATTTAAATGGCAAGTTAACAAACAATATTTATAACATAACCCCATTTGAGTGTTTTAAAAGCCCACTAAACTAGAAGGATAAATGTACATCCATATAAGTATACAGACTAGGTCTAAAAGGACATACACTCAAAAGAGAAGAAGTGAGATGGGGGAGGAAATGCAGGGGGATTTTAATTTGTTTTTAATTAATATTTACCTCTGTATTGTTTGAAACTATTACACAATAATGCATATATTTATATGTTATTTTGTGTAACTAAAAAAACACAAAGAAATTTTTAAAAGACAATATCCCCATCTAGTGGAGAATGTAGAATGTGTAATAAACCGTTAATATATTACAACTTCTGATGACTTTTCATAGTATTATAGAAAATTATAAAATAACTAATGAGAAAATAAGCAGTAAGAACTCAAATTCTGGAGGCTTGGTACAACAGAGCTGCTCATACTTTACTGAGTAATACAACTGTTTCCTTTAAAAGGCTGCTTGACTATAAGGACTGTCACAGCAGACCACAACGAACCACACTGCTGAGAAAAGCCACTGCTGCGCAAACCCCAGTTCACTGTGCATCACTTTCAGCACTGGGCTGTCAAGACAGGTTTGAGCTCGCAAAAGCTTTTGCTGTAGCACCTTATATACTGCGCTGGGGCACACTGTTTTCTGCTCAAAGTCTTGTAAACTCATTCCCCAAAACCATTCATAAACTCAAAAAACACTTTATTTTCTAGAAATGTTCTGCCCAGGTCTGCAGCCTCTGATTTACCAAATAAAAAGAACATTTTATTTGTCACTTAAACACTGATTACAATATTACAATACTGATTTTATATATGCTACCTTTGATTTCTGCAGCAGTATCAATATTCGGCATGCTGGCATTCAAGTCCTCCAAGTCAAAGCTATCATGTTCTTTCAATATTTTGGCTTGATTGAAGTAATCATTACTATCTCGTGGCTGAATCTCACTCAGAATCGTCTGTAAGCGGCTGGCTGACTCTGAGGGAGAGAGATGAGAATACATAAAGCCCCAGTGCCACATCACGTGCAGATTTCCCTTGGGGGTATTTGTTCTCCAAAATTTTGTAACTTTCAATACTTGATATAAGCTCTATTTAGAAGGGACTCACAGGGTGGATAATGTGAAAATTATTTATTTAAGGTCTTCATGACATTTGAATATACTTTTAAAATATGGCGAATATTTTAAATGGATTGAAGACAGGACAAAAAAACGCAATAGAAACTGTCCCGAAGACAAAGGCTGCCATCTCATCCACACTGCTTTCCTACCGTTGTCCAGGAATCTCAAATACGGTGCTCAATCACGCGAAGAAGAGCAATAAACTTCAATAAATTTTGTTTTATGAGGTTGTTTCCCTACCTACAACATAAGTTATCAAGGTTGAAGGTAAAGAGTTAAAAAGACATGAAAGAAACCCCAAAAACAAAAACAATCTTTTATAAAGCCCAGGAAAATCATAAAGCCTCCATATTTGACTTTAAAATGCATTATGTAATATACTGCTTTCTAAGTATGATTTACAGTCATAGTGTTATATTAAACTTGATTTTTATTCCCTAAGCACTCACTGGATTAGGAAATGTAAGCTCATGAATGCAACATTTTGTCTGTCTGTTCACTGCTGAGTCGCCAGTGCTTAGAACAGAAACAGAAACTGGCTCATGACAGAGGTTCAGTAACATGGGGTGAAGGAATGAATGGATGACTAGGTAATACAAAGATAGCCAGGCTCAGATTTTTAAAGAAAAATAATAAGTAATCATCTGAAACCAATTAACAAATCAAAGAACAGGTATTTACTATTTACCTGTTATAAACACTTATCTTTTAGGTATTTAGGAAATACAAAGACCCAAATTGCCATCATGATGATTTAACCAACATCTTATATTCACGTGTGGCTTCCATGAAATTTTGCCAAAAAACAAATTTTTGACAGGCACGACAAAGCAACACAGGCCCAAAAAGAAATCACGGAAAGACTAAGAAAAAAGAGGGATGATCAGAATTTTAAAGAATTTTAAAAACCCTACCCATTCATTTTTATAGCTTTCGGTAGAGATTTTTTTCAAGGAATTCACAATGCATGGCAGATAATATGAGAAAGAAACAGGAAAAATGGAGACAACCAAAGGAAAAAAGAAAAGGCAAAATTAAGGAAAAGTGTGTGGGCCACAGACAGTTTTTGAGACTGACAGATATTTTAGAACTTCAATAACATACAGAATTCTAGGATATTCTGCAGGCCCTACCCACAACAGGTGAGAAATATGCAAGATTTCTCATCTCAAATATACTGGTACTTGCTTGATCCAAACAGTAACAGTAAGATTGGATGTTCCTTATTCCCATCCAGTGTTTAAGCAGGAAAACTAAAGCATCAAATTTTGGTATTTAGACCATCAGTCAAAATAAACAAACAAATGTGTCTTACTATCATGAACCATCACCAATCTTCCAACTCATTTTTAGTAAAGAACAAAATTTAACATTTTCTATGCAAAACATACCACTCCAGGTTACTTTAATTACCAGCCCAAGGTATTGCATTGTATGATCCAGCGTGTGTTTATGATACACTCAATGTGTTTTTAATACAAGCCTCTCATTTGCACTCCAAAATGCATTGACAAGCTTTATTTCAACACCAAATGTAAATTTCCTTTATGATTTTCTAGGCTTTCTAAGGAACAGTCATGTTAGTACATACCTTTAACAGCCAATCCCTTCTGGCCTATTGCAGCACAGGTATAACGCCACCAAGGGCATCCCAGGTACTGAGTTTGGTTCCTATCCTTCCAGGAATTGTTCATTCATTGACGTGCTCATTATAACAAATATTTATTGTGTACCTACTTCTACAAAGCACTGTGCTAAGAACAAAGGAGGAAAATATGTAGACAAGATCCCTGTTAAATTGCAACAGTTCCATGAAAGAGAATTCGTTGGGAATGGGAGAGTGGTAAGAGACAAGACTGGTGAGGCAGCAAGAGCCAAACTATTATATAGGACCTGGTCTGAGGGGACTACAGTATTTTACATAGGAGGGGATGGGAGTAGGGCAGGGCACAAGGGTCAAGTAAAGATTATGTGTAACATGATGAATTACATGATTAGAAAAGATTACTTTGGATGTAGCAAGAAGGAAATGGAAAGAGATAAGGGCAGACGTAGGGAAACCAGTTGGGAGGCTCCTGGAGTAGTACAAACAAGAGAAGATAAAAGTCTGGAGTAAGGGAAGAAGATGCAGATAAAAAGAAAAGACCTTTGAAAGACATTTCAGGGCTAACAGCGAAAGAATGTGGAGACAGGCTAGATATAAGGAGCAAAGGAAAGGTCAGCAGCCCTAGGCTCCTGATTTGTGGGAATAGATCTTTGCTGGGGCCATTTGCAAAGACACAGGAGTTGGGATGGAAAAGGTAGATACAACTTCATGAGTTCAATTTGGGACATGCTATTTTTTTTTTTTTTTAATTAAACAGTCTTTGTACTTCAAATGGTCTTCGCCCATTCCAGATTCCTAACAAGTTGCCTTCTTTGACTGAACCCCATGTACTGCCCACCTCTTTAATTTATATTTCCTGCTCTTCCAGTGCCAGCAATTACCTGGTAGTTGCGTTCTGAAATGACAATATTATAAAACCCAATTTACCCCAGGGAGGAAGTACCTTGCTCATCACCCGGTTATTTATTTATTTAGGTTATTTTGTAATAGTTAAAAATATTACTTAAAAGCCATAAATATCACTAATAATAATAATCATTTCTTTTCTTCCCTTTTTAACTTTTATATCTCTCCGAAGAAATGATCGGGGGTAAAAAAAGAGAGAAAAATATACTAATTTGAGCTGTTTTCCTCTGCCGACCTGAATCCGTGTCCATTGGAATAAGGCCTTCTGGGGAAGAGCTCTGAATGACTGGAGACACAACGGCGGAAAGCCTGTACGACATCAGAAGGAGTTTCTCCACCACAGCTCTCCACTCACTCACCAACTGCAGGCTGCTGCAAGGACATCAAGGAAATTTATGCTAAGAGCAAAAATCAAAAATTTTAAATGCAAATTAATAGATAAAAAGGAGTTGAAAGAATTTAGGTTTCAAAATTGTGCAAACTGTGAAATGTTTGAGACATAAAAATATGTATATATGTACATTTTCTAACCTACTTTTTAAATATCTTGAAGGCAATAAACTACATTCCTTTCCCAGGAACGTACACATCCTTTCCCAGGACACATTCCAGTAAGAATTTAAAGCTCAGAAACGAGTATGCAGGAGAGAGCTGGAGATACTCTTACTTTAGAGATAACTTCTGCAAAGCTGCTGTTATACAGTGCACTCGCCCATACATTGGAAACGATGCCGCCGCCTGGAGCAGAGAATTTTCAGCCTGAGATACTTCTTCCTCTAGATTTTCCAGCAAGCACTTGATAACTAGAAAAAGCAAACAAAAAACCAAAGTAATGACAGTTTAAAAACATTTACAAATTTGTGAACAGCAAAACAGTTCCCACGAAAACACCCAACTCAAATGAACTTTATACTAAAGATTTTGAATTAAAAAAAAGAGATCTTGCAAGGTTATCCAGCCTGTTATCCATTTCCAGTTAAGATGGAACTGAGTATCTTTCCCTGACTTCCTGGATCCATTTACAGCAGTCACTCTGATAATCATTCTTCCTAGACACCCTCTAGGTGGGGTAACAGACTCCAGGCCTGTGTACTATGTGCTACCTGGACAGCAGATGTGTTTTTATTTTTTTTAATAATGGCTTTACTAAGACATAATTCACATACCATATAACATATATTTTACATGTACAAATCAATGGTTTTAGTATATTCAAAGATATGTGCAATCATAACCACGAATTTTAGAACACATTCACTGTCACCCCTCAAAAAACCCGCACCCATTATCAGTCACTCCCCTTCCTGCACCTCTCACCTTCCCCAGGCCTAGGAAACCACTTAATCTATTTTCTTTCTCTACACATTTGCCTATTCTGGACATATCATCTAAATGGAATTGTACAATATGTGGCTTCTTTCACTTAGCACGATCTTTTCAAAGTTCATCCATGTTATAGTATGTATCAATATTTCATTCCTTTTTACGGCTGAATAATAGTCCATTGCAAGGATGTGTCATATTTTGTTTACCTATCAGTTGATAAGCATGTGAGTTCTTTCCACGTTTTGGCTACTATGAACAATGCTGCTGTGAACATTCACGCACAAGTTCTTATTTGGATAAGTTTTCATTTCTCTTAAGTATCCGCTCATGATGGACTGAATGTTTGTACCTCCCTCAAATTCACGTTGAAGCCCTAACCCAAAACGTGATGCTATTTGGAGGCACCCTTAGGAAGTAATTAGATTTAGATGAAGTGATGAGGGTGGGACCCCAGTGATGGAATTAGTGTCCTTACAAGAAGAGAGACCAGAGCTTGCTTTCTTTTCTGTGTGAGCACAGAGCAAGAAGGCTGCTGCCTGCAAGGCAGGAAGAGGATCCTCACCAGGAACCAAAGCTTGAACTTCCCAGCCTCTAGAACTGTGAGAAATAAATGTCTGTCGTTTAAGCCATCCAGACTATGGTACCTTGTTAGAGCAGCCTGAGCTGACTAAGACAATGCCTAAGGGTGGAACAGTGGAGTCATATGGTAACTCTATGTTTAACCTTTCGAGCAAATCCCAGATTGTTTTCCAAATGGCGGCATCATTTGACATTCCCACCAGCAGTGTATGAGGGATCCCCTTTCTCCACATCCTCATCAACATTTGTTACTATCTGATCAGGGCCATCCTACTGGGAGTGAAGTGCTTGCTAATGGCTAATGATACTGATCATCTTTTCATGTACTTGTTCATATTAATCTTTTTTGAGAAATATCCATTCAGATTCATTGTCCATTTTTCAATTTGCTCACAACACTTTATTAGTGAGTTGTAAAAGTTCTTTACATATTCTAGCTACAAGTCCCTTGTCAGATAAAGGATTTGCAAATATTTTTCCCATTCTGCAGGTTGTATTTTCACTTTCTTGATGGTGTCCTTGACACACAAAAGTTTCAAATTTTGATGAAGTCCAATTTATCTCTTTATTCTTTGTTACTTGTCCTTTGGGTGTCACATCTAAGAAACCATTACCTAACCCAAGATCACAAAGATCTGCACCCCTATTTTCTTCTACAAGTTTTATCATTTTAGCTCTTGCATGCAGGCCTTTGAACTATTTTAGCTAACTTTTGTATATGGTATGAGGTAGCAGGTCCAAGTTCATTCTTTTGCATGTGAATATCCTGTTATTCCAGCACAGTAGATATCTCCCCTCACCACTAAGATGGAGAGGGTTATATTTTAAATTTTAGAATTTACTGGTATAACCAGTAAATTATTAGTATTTAGAATATATAAAGAATTCCTAAAAAGCAATAGGAAAAGGCAACCCCAGAGAAAATTGAACAAAGGACACAAACAGGCACTTCACGAAAAGGGGAAAGTGAAGAGCTTCTACACAGGTAAAAGGGTGCTCAATTACACTAACAATCAGAAAAATGCAAGATGAAACCACAGTGAGATGCCATTTTATATTCAGGAAAATTTTAAAGTCTGATAATACCCAGTTACGGTGATTCTCATAATTTATTGGTGAGAATGTAATCTGATAACCCATTTGGCATCATCTAGTAAAGCTGAAGATGCACATACTTTATGACTAGGTGATTCTACTTTTTTGTTTACCATAAACTCTCAGACATGTCTATTAGAAGATTTTTATAAGAATGTTCACATTGGCATTATTTATTTAGAAAAAAAGAGGTCCATCAATAGGAGAATGCATTAATAAACTGTAGTAAATTTGTATAATACATATAGTACTATTTACATAAAATTCAAAATCATGTAAAAGTAAATAATATATTGTTTAATGATATACACACAAGTGGTTAAAATCATGGTAAAAACAAGATGAAAGATTAATATAAAACACACAACAGTAAGCATATGGCAGGTGGGGAGAGCTGGGATAAAGGAGAGGCTTCAAAGGTATGGGTGCTATCGTACTTCTTAAGCTGGGTGTTCTCACCTAGCTTGGGAACTAAACTTGTGAAATTTCTATATTAGTACTATTTGAATCCTATCTATACTTAAATATTCTTTGTATGTTTGAAGTATTTCATAAAGTTTTAAAATGTCTTTGAATTTGAAAGCCTTTACAGGAAGCAGGAACTCCCAGTTCACCCCAGTTGCAGACCTCTTCCTATCATCCTGTCAGGGTTCCTGTTGAACCGGGCCCTGAAGTGATTAGAGTGGGCAAGTGTCATCTTCCCTGGTGCTGTCATCTCTCTATTCCCAGATCTATGGCGACATTCCCACCAGAACTACTCATGGCCTCCTAACTTTCCTCCATTACTAGTTTTTTTCGTGGCTTTTTCTACCACCTTGCAGAGAATAATTTTCTATATCTCTTTCTACATCTGACCTCTTTTTTTAAAATAAAAATCCTTATCTGTCCTTAATTACAGTGCAGTTCCAAAATGAAGATTTACTGGCATAAAATCCCCAACAAATGTTTGTTGAAAATCACTAGATCTAAACCAACTCAGACCCTAGGTTTTGGAACTGGCTGTATGGGAAGAGAAAAAGGCAGGAGTATGACAGCCAGTTAAAACATAAACCCCAACAAAGAAACTACGCTCTGTATAGAAAAAACAAAGATGATCTGGCTATAGTCACAGTAAAATTTCTGCGGGAAAAAGAAGTACATTGTTAGTAAAGAAAGAGGTCTTATTTGAGCAAGGGCTTTATTAATGTACAGTTGTATATCTACTTATTTAACATGAATCTTCCCTTTAGAAACAAGTGTTATAGCTGAGTAAATCATTTCTTTGCTTAAAAGAGAAACTCAGCGTATTCCTATATGCCGGTAAACTACTATACTGGTAATCTCTTAAATAAAAAACCACAAAGTAAATGTTTAACCAGTTGATATTCTAATCAAATGAACAGTGAGAGAGTAAGATATTGGTTTTGATAAATAAGAGCAAAAAGTCATTACAAACCCATTAATGTGTTCCTTTCCACCCAAGCAGCAGACTTATCTCCATCTTCACATGCAACTTGCTGAGTTTTTACGTACGCGGAAAGAGATGACGGGAGAGCATTCTGCCAGATTAACAAGTTCAGCATGTAGGAAGCTGTTACACAGTCATATGGTTTGGTGCTTGTGCTGAGCTCCAGTGCTGCCTGGAATAAGCCTTGGAGTTTCTCTGAATCCTGGAATAAAGCACAGACCCAGTAACTGTCACTGAAACATTTCTTTAATTTGAAGGAACAGCATATATTTAAAAAGAGAGCCTGCCATATAACTGTAACTCAATATGAACATTAATTCATTTCCCTTTCTCCCTGAATATAGGTTAGAGCTTTTATTACAGTAATTAATGATTATTACTAATCAGTTCTAGTGATGAGAGTCTTGAAAATAATTTCAGTTGGAAAATTCAACATTGATAAAGCTTCTTTTTAAAAGTACGTCTTTCTTCAGCAAAAACTATACTTTTTCCTGTAGAAATTCTGCTACGACCATAGCCAGATCATCTTCATTATTTCCACAGAGACCAGAGTTCTTTTGTATGTCAAGGTTTGCTTTGCCTGGGCATCATACTCCTGCCCTTCCTTCCCCCTTTCCACAGAGCTAGTTCAACAGAGAAAAATACAAATCCATACAAAAATACAAATCCACCAGGCTATTCCTGCCGAAGCTCCACGTACACGCATGGAAAATAAAGTGATCAGATCAGCCTCGGAAATTCCGAATCAGAGCTCCCACACCTATATCTCACACAAACATCCACTCACATAGCCTGTCCCAAAGAAGCGAGAACGAGGGACAGTTCACCGTTATACACACGGACAGCAGTGGGCTGAGGGTAGGAGACACAGGTCTTAGTCTCAACTCTACAGTTAACAAGTTGCTCATTCACCACAATGGAACTCAGGGTTTTGTTGCTCAATAATATTGATTCTACTAGGATTATTCCATAACTGTCTAATGTAAGGGAAATCATTATAAATTTAATTTTGAATTTGATTATAGGTACACCAATGTTTAATGTCTTACAATTTCAAATAATAGATATCAAACATACTAATTCAAATAGCAGTTTATTTCAATTTAAATTCTTTGCTGTTTGATATGTTTAATTTTCTATGACCTAAAAAACTTAAAGATAGTAGAGAAAAGATCAAATCTAAATAAATATTAGAAAGAACCAATTAAGCAATTAAGTCATTTTTTGTAACTGACCGTTAAGTCCCTGAATTGCTTACCTAAGGAACTAGTAAGAAACATAATCAATAGCCTTTGGAGTCTAAAATATCTTTGTTCTATCATCTGAGGTCAATCAAAACATAATATAAAGACCTTGGATATGCAGCTCCATGAGAAAGAAGGGCAAGAGAGTAGGTGAGTAGTAAAATCATATATTAGAAAGATATGCCATCAAAAATATGTGTATAGAACAGATTAGCAGCTACCAGGGGAAAGGTGGGCTGGGGGGTGGGCACAAAGGGTGAAGTGGTGCACCTACAACACGAATGACAAACATTAATGTACAACTGAAATTTCACAAGATTGTAACCTATCATTAACTCAATTAAAAAAATAACTACCATTGAACGTAAAAAAAATATATATGTGTGTATAGAGTCTTTAGGTTATCAATCAAAAAATGCTTTACAGTTAACCATAATAAAAAAATTAATTATATATTATATAAAGTATGCCCAAAGAAAGACTTTGGAAATATGTAATTAATATTTTAAAATCTTGAATGCCTATTCCTATGATCATTTACTAATATGCAAGCCAGATCAGATAGTATAACCACCAAAATCCTATAGCAAGCCATATGTGCTACTAAGTCTGCTGAATTCTACAATTAATGGCTATAAACCAAAGCACACGTTTACCAAATTAGAGATACAGAGGCCCTCTAGGGCCCTTCACAGGTTAAGTAAGGAGCAGGTCTTTCATATAGGTGCTATCATAGACCTTACCCACCCCAGATACTCTCAAAATATTTGCCAGGAATGAGGCATAGTTATACATATGATACAAGGCTACAGTGCAATGAACGGTAAGAGGCAAGTGGGAGGGGTGTGTGGGAGAGAAGAAAGGAAATAGAGGAAGAGAAAGCATCTGCTTTAAAAACTACATGGTACAAAAATTAGAAGCCTAAGCACCAAAGAAGCTTCTGCTCACCAGGGAACCTGAAAGACCACAGGGATAGGTGGGCACTGGAGAGCAACTTACAATACAGACCCAAGTTAGAAAAGATACTCTGAAATACTGCAATGCCATCTGGAAGCCACAGAAACAGACACCTGTGCTCTCTGACATGTGGTCCTACAGAATGCCACTGCATCTACAAGCTGTCACGCCCTAAAAAGAGCCTAATAGCCAGAGACTAGACCATGGCTCCGCTGCAGGCCCATAGGTGCCCTTGACCTCTGTACAGCTCTAAGAGAAAGCCAGAGCAAAGCTCTTCAGCCGGTGATCTCACAGCCTCAGAATAAGCCTCAAGGATACAGCTGAGCGCCTGGGTTAGGGGGTCCCCTGCAGACCCATCTCCATGTTGTACCCTCACCCCTGAGCCCGTCTTTGGTTCCCATCCTAAGGAAGGAAGTGCAAGTTGTCAGGAAGAGAGTGGGGGCTGGGGATGGGGAAGAAAGCCTAGAGACAAGTGTTATTAACCTCAAGGACTCTGAGTTTCAGTCTCAGTTTAGCTATTGCTTGTTGGAAAATCAGAAATGTGTTCTCTACCTCACTTACACTCAGCTTCCCAGTCTACTATCAGGGAGATTATCTCAAAAACTCAAGTTACTGTAAGTGATACTGTAAATGATGTGTTTTGATCGAACATTAACATGTCCAAGGGAACTGAGGAGACCACAGTTAACTAAAATCTACCAATAATCTTGTAAACGATAAAACCTACTGCCTCCTACACCTCCCTTTTCATCAAAACAATCAAAAAAGCAAAGCTCACCAATCTCAGCTTTGTTTTCTCTTATAATATTTCCTCCTTCCCCCCCATCCATCCCGACCTCCTCCATCCACCAGCCTGCAGCAGGAGAGGTATTGACGACAACTGAAACAGTCAGAAGATGTAAGAAGGCAGATGCAAAGAGCATGGACAACCCATAGACTGCTTTGCCTGCCGCTAAAATAGAAAGTTTTCATGCACGCATCACATTTACATTTACATAGGAAAAGTCCAAATACCTGAAATTGTACAACTGTTTTTGGTAACTTCATTAGAAGATCAAATGCTAATATTTTCACTTCTTCAAAGGTGCTGGTAAAACATTCCACTAGTGTTTGGAAACGACCAAAATCAATGTCATGACTCAGCTGATACACTGTTTGGACTCCACCTAAAAGACAAAAGGTTTAAAAGTAAGAAAAGAAATCAACATTTTGAAGTTATTTGGCCAAATTTATAGAAAATTAGTATAAAAATTCACATTTCATACTTTTATTGTGCTACCCACAATAGCATAAAAGAATAATTTTTCCATTAATTTATTTTTCCTAAGAATGATAAAATAGTATTACAATTATCCAAATAGGAAATAAACATTTTTTTTAAATTTGTTTAAAACCACTCCATTCTTTTTCAGTCATATATTATATAAACGATACCTAAGTTATTTTTTTGAATAAATTTAGCAATACAACTTTTTAAAAATCTTCATAAAACTTCTTGACCTAGAATCCAAAGTCCTACCACGTCTTAGGTGAACTGACACAGAATAATCAATATGATGACATATCCTAATGGAATTACTGGGCATCAAAGATAAGGAGTCTTTTAGCCATTCAGGCAAAAAGCTCAATTCATCTACATAGCGGAAAAAATTAGGCTGGCTTCACTCTTCACCATAACAACATACGATGCTACTAGATAGAGCAAAGGTTAGAAAATCCTCAGGGAAAGGAGACTTGATGAAAAATTGTATGTCAAAATCTTATTCCAGTATCAAGTAGAACAGTAATATACACATTTTTGATTATGCAAGAAATTAAGAACTACATTTCTCCAAAAACTCTTTTCAAAGAAAGACGAATTTCAGCCAAGAAGAAATGAACAGAAAAACTATCACAGAAGAATGATGGCAGCCACTGGATTCATTTAACTTTAAGATTAAGACTAAACAACTGTGGGAATAATAGGTTTCACAGCAAAATGTGAAGAACATTTACTAAGCTTTAACAAATTAACCCCTGACAATAACTGAAAACATTCCTATGCTTACTTAATTTGAGGAATACTGTTCAATATAAATCAGGATGTGGGTTTCTTATTTAATCTTAACTCACAAGTTATTGCAACCCTGTGAAATTCCTGGAGCAAGCAAATGAAGTTTTTGTCACTTCACTCACATATCTGCTCAAATTTGTTTCTTCTTTTCCAATTCAGATGCCTTTCATTTCTTTTTCTTGCCTAACTTCTCTGGATCAAACTTTCGGTACAATGGGGAATAGCAGTGGTGAAAGTGAGCATCTCTGTCTTGTTCTTGATGGTAGGAGAAAGGCCTTCAGTATTTCACCATTGAGTATGGTGTTGGCTGTAGGTTCTTCATGAATGTCTTCATCACATATAGGAAGTTCCCTTCTGTTCCTAGTTTGCTGAGTGTTTGTTTATCGTAAAAGGGTGTTGAATTTCGTCAATGCTTTTTCTGCATCAATTGAGACCACCATGTGTTTTTTTTCCCTTCATTCTAATGTGGTATATTACATTGACTATTTCTTCTTATGCTGAACCACCCTTACATTCCTGGGATAAATTCCACTTACTTACTAACGGTGTATAATACTTTTAATATGCTATTGGACTTGGTTTGCTAGTATTTTGCTGAGAATTCCTGCATCTATATCTATAAGGGATACTGGCCTGTAGTTTTCTGTTCTTGTGGTGTCTTTGTCTAGCTTTGGTATCAAGGTGACGCTGGCCTCATAGAATGAGCTAGGAAACGTTACCTCCTCTCCAATTTTTTTGAAGAGTTTGAGAAGGACTGATGTTAACTCTTTTTGAAATGTTTGGTAGACTCACCAGTGAAGCCCCTCCCTCTGGACTGTCCTTGCTGAAAAGCTTTTGATTACTGACTCCATCTCTTTACTTATTACAGGTCTGTTTAAATTTTCTATTCCTTTTTGAGTCAGTAATTTGTTTGTTTCCTCTAGGTTATCTAATTTATTGGAAATACAATTGTTCATTGTATTGTCTTATAATCCTTCTTATTTCTGTAAGGTCAGTAGAAATGTCCCTAACTTTCATTTCTGATTTTAGTTATTTGTGCCTTATTTCTTTTTTTCTTAGTCAGTATAGGTAAAACGTTGTCAATCTTACTGATTTTTTAAAAAACCAACTTTTGGTTTCATTGATTCTCTGTATTATTTTTCTATTCTCTATCTCATTTATCTCTGTTCTAATCTTTATTATTTCCTTCCTTTTGCTAGCTTTAGGTTAAGTTTACTCTTCTTTTTCTAATTCCTTGAAGTGTAAAGTTAGGTTATTGATTTGAGATCTTTTTTCTTTTCTAATGTAGCCATCTACAGCTATAAATCTCCCTATGAGCACTGCTTCTGCTTCATCCCATAAGTTTTGGTATGTTGTTCTTTTGTTTTCATTCCTCTCAAAGTATTTTCTAATTTCCCTTGTGATTTCTTCTTTGACTCACTGGTTGTTTAAGAGCTCTGCTCAAATTTGAAGCCTTCTCTCACGCCACTATATGAACAACTAGCACTCCCCATCCTCCCAGGCACTCAATATGCCCCCTTGAAATATCTTTTTATACTATTTATTTCCATCTGAAATTCTATATATTACTTGTTAATTTATTGTCTGACTCCCTTCACTAAAATCTAAGCTCAAAAATGGGAAGCACTTTATTTCACACATTGCACATCGCTGGCTACTTGACATACAGTAAGTGCTAAATAACTATCTGGTGAACAAACCCTTTTAATCTAATTGTGGTATCCAATTTTCCACCATGAATACTGTGACATTTTATTCTGAGTAAGAAAGACGTGTGTGGCTTATTCTTCTTGAACTAGGACATACTTGAGGAAAGGCAGAAACTATTTTGAGTAATCATAGTCCTTCTTTAAAATAATATGAAAACCCACAGTAAAGTTCGTGAGATAAAGATGAAGAACGAATTTACAGTTCCCATCCTGCACTTCACAGTCATGCCTCTTTGGCCTCCTTTAACATAAATGGGTATAGAGTGGCTTGCTCCATTTGCATTACCTCCCAGTTGTTTAATTAACATAATCACTGTGACAACAGTTACTCCCCAACTATATGTGACTCATTCATTAGGAAAATGACTCTGGTTTTTCACTTTTAAGTACATTTAAATATATTAAACTACTCTCTCAACTGAAAATTACCAGTATAATTCAGCCTAACGTTATTTCCCACACACCTACATACAACTTATAACTACATTAAATGTACAGAAAACTTTTTGTTAAGTGAATAATCAATCACCCTCAGGTAAAACTTCATTTTCTAAGTTCAGTTGTAATACTACTGAAATTCCCTAAACTGATGGATGCCCCTGTATTCATTTTCTGTGCATGCTGTAACAAATTACCACAAACTTGATAGCTTACAACTACAGAAATCGATTCTCTCACAGTACTAAAAGCCAGAAGTCCAAAATCAAGGTACTGGTAAGGGCCCGCTCACTCTAAGGGCTCAAAGGGAGTATTCACTCGTCTCTTTTGATGGCATTTAGGCCCATCCAGATAACCCATGATTATCTCATTTTAAGATCCTTAACTTAATCACATCTGCAAAGACCCTTTTTCCAAGTAAAGTTCATATTCACAGGTTCTAAGGATTTGAGGTGGATATCTTTTGGAGGTCAATTTTTGGCCTACCGCACCTACCTTAATCAGGTGATCAAACTGTTCATTATGAACAACAGGACAAGCCAACATCATGTACCTCCTGCCCTGAGAAGAACATCACATCACCTATGCCGTATTTCTCCCAAAAATGCAGAACTTGAATCAAACCATGAGGAAACAGTAAGACAAACCCAGATTGAGATACATTCTTCCAAAATGTTAATCTCATGAAATAAGGAACTTTGCAGATTAAAGAAGGCTAATGAGACATAACAAGGAAATGCAAGGTGTGATCTTGGATTGGTTCCTAGATCACAGGAAAAAATTTTTTTTCCTTAAAAAGGCCACTTACTGAAACTGGCAAAATTTGAATATGAATTATATATTAGATAATAGCATCGTATCAACATTAAATTTCCTAAATTTGATCATTGTGTTATGGTTGGAAAGTTAATGAGAGAGAGAGAGATAAAGCAAATATGGCAAAATACAAACACCGATGAATCTCGGTAGAGGGTCTACGGCTGTTCATTGAACTATTCTTGAAACTTCGCTGTTGTTTTGAATTTTTTCAAAATAAAAACTTGAAAAAATGGTTTTCTTCAAATGAAGCAAGTCTGTATTAACAGCAAATAACTATCCTTTTCCCCTCCAAAAAATTATACTTTGCCTAAAAATTTAAACTGAAAAAAAAAATCCAACTTTAGTGTAAAGCTCCCTGGTCCTCTGGCCATTCCCTCCAAAAGAGCAGCTGAGCAGGATATTTTTCTGTTTGACCACAGTCAAGAATGAGCACAAACAAGAAATCACATTAAAATACACATACACTCACGTACAGGGATAAAAAGAATCATTTCTTGTCAAAAAGGGAAAAAACCCAACTCAGAGGGAAGTTAAATGTTCATCCTCTTGAGTAACCCGTAGAAGGAAAAACAAAGGTTATCATTAAACCAGAGTGCCTGTAAATGACATCCTCATATTGCCTTTTTGAAACCAGATTGAGACTTACGAAACAGATAGCATATAAGGGAAACCACATTTTAACCACAAAGACTCACTGAGGAATGTTATACATAAGAGAAACGATTATTTTTTTAATTTTTAAAACTTAAAGAACAGATGGGGCACTATCTTAAAGCAGCAACACAAGAACTGAGGAAATAAGAGCAGCAACTGTTCTCATAATAATAATTATCTATGAAAACTGTAGTTTTGCATTGCCAAATAACGGTCACTGAAAACAGTCTCTCTCCCTTATGCCCCTCATTGAAAAATTTAATTATGTCCCAATAAGAACTATACAGTGAGAATAAAACCCCCAGAAGAATCTAAACAAAAGCAACAGAACTGAAACTTCAACTAAACCAAAATGTTGACAAAGTATGTGATTTGCGAGGAAAAAAATAATTTTCCCCAAACATTATTGAAAACTTACCTTCTGGGACAGGAAAAACTTCAGCTATTGAGCCTAAAATGGTTAAAGCTGAAAATCTAGTTGGGTAGGAAGAGCCAGGAAACAATGCTTCAAAAAGACTGCTGCAAATGGAGGACATGAAATTCTAAAAAGAAAAATTACGATTGAGTTAACTCACAATAAGTTGCCTTCATAGTAACATATTTAAGAATGGAGTGTTGTTTTAATCGAGAGATAAGAGATTTGTAAAAACAATACTAGTTTTTTCACTTTGCTTGACAAGTCAACTTGACATCCTTGACCATGAGCTATTTCATGACTGCAATGAACCGTATCTTTGTAGTGTCACAAGAAGCACAATTCCTATTGCAGTCTACACAAGAAAAAAAGACATTTTTGTTGAAAACAAGATCCATTCTGCCCTGACTTGTGCTGAAGCTGTGTGAATACTGATCTTCTTCACCAGAGGCACTCAGGCATCAAAGGCAGGTGTACTTTTTAAAGTTATAAAATGACCAAACAAATATCCAATATATACTACTTGATAAATTTGATAAATATAATACTTGATAAATTTGGCTATAATGAGATAGTTTATAAGAAGATTCCACTATTCCATTGTCTTCTATGCGCCCCTTTGAGGCTCCTGCTCTACCATTCTGTTTATACAAATGATAAAATACAAAACTGTTAGTAAAATGCAACAAACAAAAAGGCAAAGTGGGAATACTTTATCCAAATAAAGTCTTCTTCCTCTAATTAAAAAATATTTTTTAATAATAATTTCTGTGTTAGACCAAAGAGAAAAATTATAAGGAAAAGCTGTGATTTTCAAGCATCTCATATGCTGCTACACCCGAAAGACAGACACTTGTAAGTGAGCAGCCAATAAGCAGCCCTAGTCCCAGCTGACCCCCCACATTCATTCCTCTGGTCAAGGACATACAACCTTGGGGATTTATCCCACAGGCCCTTACAAGCCTTAAGTGAGAGTTTATTAATTTATTAATTCTATTGGGTTTGAAAGGAATAGGGTGCTTGTTGGAAACATCCTAGTTAAAGTAGTTTTAATTGTAAATGAGTAGTATAGTACTCACATTAAAGAGCACTAAGTTCACGCTTTAGGAATTATGTTATCCTAATCATAGTGTCATTTATATTCTTAGATATAGTTCTTTCCCTCAACCCGACTGTAATCACAATGGAGGCAAGGACCACCCTTTATATGTTTACATCCCTAGTCCTGGGCATAGTGTCCTACACACACAGTGGAGACTCAGTACATGCTCTAGTCACTTTTAATGGCTCCTAGTGAGGCTTCCAAAAACCTTAGCCTGGCGTTCGAAATTCTCTACTACCCATCCCCAACTTGATGTTCTAATTAATTTCTATTACTCAACCCCTCTGCTGCCTCAAGTATCTCATGTCATTCACACTAGTGAATTCACCACTCCCCAGATTCTTCCTGTACTTTCCTACCTCCAGGCCTTTATTGAAGCTGGTACTAGGGAAAACAACTATTCACGTTTTGGGATCAAGAGATCAGGACTGGAGTCTGGCTCCACCACTTGCTAGCTGGGAGACCTTGGGAAGGTTACTCAACTTTTCCAAACTTCAGTTTTCTCACTTGTTAAGTGAGCACAATAATGCCTCTCTCACAGCCTTGTTATTAAAGATTAATGAGAACATGGAGAGAAAGCATTTGGTAAATTTAAAAGTACTCTAGCTATTTATATTAGTTATTTTGGTATGAGATAATCTCCTTCACTAGACTAGAAAACATCTTTTCAACTAATAGCCTCTGCTTCTCCCTTAGCACTTAGTCTGTTGATGGGCACTGAGCCTACCACACACTGTGCATGACACTCACTGTTACAATGATGAATAATACAGTGCCAAAGTCACAGCCTCCAAAAGCCACAGGTGACTACAATTGCGAGAAAATATCAGAATCATGAGATTGACTCAGATTAACTCTAAAAGACTAGTTTCCAAAAAAATATGTATCCATTAGCACAAACTAAGAAACAATGCATACATAAAAATTCAGAATGTCAATCCACAAAAAAGATTTTGTGTTTCTAAGTACCTAATTCAGATTTTGCAAATGTCATTTTACCACTTGCAAAAAGCTGGAGATGTGTTTTCATAGATCATCTAGCAATAATCTAAGACAGGCTTAAAAATAACTCTTTCACATACACAGTAAGTACTCAATATATAGTCACTTTTAATGACTCCCAGCGAGGCTTTTTAGAGTGATTCAGAGTTTACAAAGAGCTTTCTCATTTGATCCTCAAAATCAACCTTTTCAGAGAGGTTACTAATCTCACTTATAGTTGAGTAGACTCATAAAGTAAGCCAACTACTAGTTCAGTGGCAGAATTGGAACTAAACCTATGTCCTTAAAGTTTCAGTTGTGACTTCCCAATCTTCATTGTAATGATTCATAAAGACGAAGCCGCTTTCAGACTTTGTGTAGGAATATTTTTCTTCAGATGATTTTTTACCTTTCAAATACAAACTAAGGCCCATCCATACTAATGTTTAGAATAGGTAGTGAGTATGTCATGGCTCCAATATCATTAGTTTATTACACTTGTTTCCCTAAATGAAATAAAATAGGTAAGCTTTGTCCTCTACCTGGGTCTTAGGAGAAAATAAGAGTCTGCTTCTGGGAGGCTAGATTTGGAGTAAGAAACCAGTAAAAAGCTCATTTTGTTCTGACGGACATAAAGTGCAGGTTGTCAAGCTGAGCCCTGGCCCAGACTGGAACTGCTATGTCTGGGGTTCCATCCATTCCATTAACACAGTGCCCTGAAACCCAGCCCTGCTCTTCAAGCCCGCTCCAAAAGGAGACAGACATGAACCTCCATAGCTGGACCACAGGCCCGGAGTCACAAATGTAGAGCCACTGTAAATCCTGTTGGTCTAAAGGGGAAGCAGGCCCAGACACGGCAGTCTCCTAGACGAGATGTGGAAGACTTCAGGCCGGCAATTACCTTCTGGTTAAAGTACTAAATTCAACTGGCCCACATAAGCTATAAACTGTTAAGATTAACCCACTAATGTTACTCTGTAACAGATCTCAAGTCCAGCACAGGTTCCACATCGCAGGCTACCTCAAGGGAAACACCAAATCTCCAGAAGGAAGGTGTAAAACCCAGCTTAAAGGAAAAAAGCACAGAAGCACTACTCACCAAGAGACTTCCATTTATTTCCCTTTAATGTTTACTCATAGTTATTTTAGGTTTCTTAAAAATCCATATGTCTGGAAATCTATCACCTACCTTATACTGCTGTAAAGAAACAGAAGGGTGCTGTGTGGTTAAGTCATTCTCTGGTTCATGTTTGCCTTTACTTTGCTCCAGTTTATAAAGTGTCTGAGAACTTTCCTGTATCCTACAAAACAACTTTTGAGAAAAAGAAAAATGAAGCACACGTGAGCCACATTAACCTTAAATGTCAGCCTAAAAGGCAAAGGAAAAACTCTTCTTAATTCTTCAGACTAAAATTGCAGGCAAGGAGAGTCCTAGCTTTTAAACTAACTTACTTTTTTTTTTTTCCTGCTGAGAAAGATTAGCCCTAAGCTAACATCTGTGCCAATCCTCATCCACATTATGTGTGGGTTACCACCACAGCATGGCTGACAAGAGGTGGAAGTCCACCCCTGGGATGTGAACCTGCGAACCCAGTCCACTGAAGCAGAGCACACTGAACTTAACCGCTATACCATGGGGCTGGCCCTTTAAATTCTTAAGATTTACACAGTGTTTCTTTTTACCAGAAAATTAACATTTATATTTTTAAACCAAAAACAAAATATTACTACAAATCAGAATACAGTCATTAAACCACAGCTCTATCTCCTTTAGGTTGTATGAACCTAAAGACAATATACTCACTTCTATACTCTACCAACTCTTCACCCCATCGACCTGTCCTGTGATACCTCAAGTTTGATTATCCAATAACGACCGTTTCATGAAGTGCTTAACGAAACTACAAAAATACAAGGGCATCCTTCCTCCTCTTACAAAAGTGTTCTTAAAGCTTTGCTCTGAAAACTCCATCACTAGATTTTTTTTCTTTCAAAAAAAAGAGCTCAAGTTTCATTTATTACACCTAAATTAAAGGACTCCTCACTCTGGATTTTAATCCCCAATGTGAACTTTATGGACTCACAGAATGGTCCTGAGAAGGGCCATGAAGAGAGGCGAAAGGCAGTCTAGTCCCATGGCCATTATTCTCACACTCTCTCAAAATCTTGGCAATTTGAAAAAATCATTTCCAGAGCAAAGCTCACCACTTTCCTGTACTTTCTAAAGAGAAATTTTACCTTTCTAAGCAGAGAACAAATCTGTTGCCGCACTGCTGGAGACTGACTGTTAAGATTGTACGTGATAAAGAACTGAATCCACCGCATTTCTTCTGTGGAAACGATTTCTGTGCTTCGATTACTTTCACAAAGCAAACCTAAGGTATCTATCCGTACCTAAAACACATCAAGCAATACAATGTTAATTTTTCTATGAGATAAACAAAGCCTAAGCCACCTGACATCTTTAATTATTTATATAGACTACCAAAGGAAAGAAAACAGTAAACCTCAGTTTACCTATATGTGCTTCCGAAAGCTTCCCTAATCTCAAAGATCCTGTGGTTACTTCCTATAAAATTATTTTATTAAATGTGTAAATTGGATATTTATAAAAGTCAACAGTCTTAAAGATTCTTATTCCACAGCAATGCTCAACTTCATTCTTTTTTCTCAGTGATCACTTTACCCCACAACCTCATCAGCTGGTCTCCTGGTTTCTTTCTGCTCCCACTCCGGAAACCCATCTCTGTTTCCATTAATTCCACATCCTTGCTAAAGACAAAGTGGCTCTAGTTCCCAGTTACCAAATGAATGAAATCTGAAGTCTTCAGCCTAGCATTGGAAGCTTCCACAAAATGGATGAAACACTCCACTCCTGCCTAACAATGTCCTTAATCACCCTCCAGGCCTTGCTTATCTGTGTCCTTCATCACCCTCCAGGCCTTGTTTATTTGTGTCCTTCCATTTTCTGTGCTGCTCCAATGCTTGCTCTCCTCTGATCACATTTATCACTGTCCTAATCAACCACCACCTGCTCTGATCAGTCTCTGCTGAGCATTCCAAGTTCCCATGCTTAAAGGCACAGTTGTATCTGTATTTTCTTCTAAGAGTTCCCAGTTGTTTTCTGCAGGTTTTCTTATTCCCTCAACTAAACTCTACGTAGCCTGAAAGCAACGTCCACACTTTTCACTTTCTATCCATCCCCCTTATGGACCCCTTAAACCAGTGCTGGGCATAACATAGGGGCCTCTATAGAGGACTGTTAAATGAATAAATGAATCCCCTGATCTACTCCACGTACAAATGCCCAGTTACTTTGTTTACTTACTTGGCAGTGCTGATGAACTAAGCCCTGCTTTATTCTTGCACTGGACACAAGAGTTCCCCAGGCATCAGTTGCAGAGTGAAGATGTCCATGAGCTCTAGCTGTTCGTAGACATGCCATCAAAGCTCCCAGAGCCCCTCTAGTATTAAAAGATCCTAAGGATGGAAAAGATTGCCCTTGTCTCAAAAGCACAATAACAAAGACTACTACTGCGCTATGTAACAACTACCACAATTTTCATGTTTCCAATTAACAATATATTTCAGAAATAAAAGTCATATTTTAAACTCAATTCTAACATGAATTAAAGTTCCTATTATAAAATAATCATTATTTAAAATGATTTAATAGATTTTATATCAATTATTTCAAGTAAGCATAATCTTATCGCTAACTTAAAGAAACTGGTTTTTTTACAAAGCTTCTTTATTTTCTTAATAAAATACAGATATAACAATAGAAAATCCATTATCATATCTTCACATAAAATACTTCCCATTGGTCAATGATATAGATACATGCACACATATATATCTTGAAAATAGTCCACTTCAGAATAAATTGCACTTACTTTTTAAATTGGAAAGATTTACTTTATATTTTCTGATTAAGTTTTTTTTTGAGGAAGATTCGCCCTGAGCTAACATCTGTGCCAAGTGACCTCTATTTTATATGTGGGTCACCACAACAGCACGGCCGCCACTGAGTGTCATAGGTCTGTGCCTGGGAACTGACCCAGGCTGCCAAAGCGGAGTGTGCTGGACTTACCCACCTGGCCACAGCACTGGCCCCCAAGAGAGATCCTTTTATTTATTTAATTATTTATTTATTTGAAGAAGATCAGCCCTGAGCTAACGTCTGCTGCCAATCCTCCTCTTTTTGCTGAGGAAGACTGTCCCTGACCTAACATCCATGCCCATCTTCCTCTACTTTATATGTGGGACGCCTACCACAGCATTGCTTGCCGGTGCCATGTCCACACCCGGGATCCAAAATGGCAAACCCTGGGCCACTGAAGCAGAACGTGCAAACTAAACCGCTGTGCCACCAGGCCAGCCTCTGATTATCTTTTTAAAAGATCCTTTTTTAACTCATTTTTCCCCCGGCTTTTTGAAACCACCAGGGAAAGTGTAGGAAGAGAGAGTAAGGGTGCTAAAGACCCCATCTATGCCATGCATCCCTAGTAGGAGTGGTGGGGTGAGGTAGGGGGACTCCCCACATGTGTATCTAGAAGAACTGAACTGAAAAAGTTTAAGGTCCCTACAGTGAGGCAATGGCTATATTAAAGTTTATAATCTCATATAACCATTCCTTTCTACAGAGTTTAATTTTACCGTTTTATAGGAATTCAGGACTTTTAAGCTTTTTCAAGTTTTTCTTTCATAAATGGATAAGGTGAATGTATAAAGGAACTTACTTTATTCATTTATAAAATTTTTTAAAATTCCCTAATGCTGAGACATTTGGTTCAATATATATTGTTTATGCATATGTGTTTGAAGAAATCATTTTTTAATAAATATTTTTACTTTTTCCTTTACGGTTAGGAAATAAACCAAGAAGTGAATCAGGAAAAAGATTAGGTGGAGAAATATTTAAAATAATAAAAATCACTAAAATGACTTTCAGACAAAAACAGGAAAAATATTTCAGTGGCTGAAGACCATTATTTCTCTAAAAATAAACACTGACCCTCTCTGCATATTTTGGAGTTACTGTTTCTCCCTAGTAAGGAAGATAAAAGGAGAATCACACAGAACCTGAGCTTTCAGAGGCCAGGACGTCAGCCACTACCAAGGGGTCAGGGAGCGCTGGCTCACAGGGCCCCCTGACATAAAGATCAAGACTGCCTCACTTCAGAAGAGCTTCATGAATCCTCAGCTTTAGATGGCTTCTCAAAAAGGCAAGAATGACTGTCAAAATTTTCAAATAATGGCTCACTTTTGTGTACAGCAATCAAATTTTCCAGTTATCTCATGGTTCCTCTTTGAAGTACTGGAAGTTTTTAACTATTTTAGCTGGAAATCTTCGTAAGATATCATACAGGCTACCATATTCCTGCTTCGCTAAATGGAATATAATAATTTTACGACTCATGAGTCAAGATCATCATTTTCTATAACAATTACTGGACTATGTTTTCACGCAGTGATGCCTTTAGGGTGACTAAGTTTCAATGGAATGTTCACCCCTATTCTAAAGGACTACTGACAGCTGTTTCTTGAGGTCATGCCTCTAAATTTTTGTCTCTTCCCAGAGAGAAAAACTTGCGAATGCCAATTTACCCATCTTCAACCTTGCCTAAAACAATTTTTAATTACTGTTTCACTTGAATAAGCAAATTATATAAAACACACAAACTTTTACTCCAGTCCGACAACCAAATAACAAGAAAGAACTTGGCAAAATTAACTAAAACCTATTAATAAAGGAAAACCCATAATCATAACTGGAATCAATCCTTAGCTGGTAGAAATGACTTCAGCCAAAAAACTCTATTCAGCTATGTACAGGAAAATTCGTTTCAATCTGAAATCTCTATCACTAAAATCCTCCTTTACTATTCATAGAAGTAGTAATATTTAAATTTGAATACGGTCAACATCTGCCTGGGTACCTATACTTAAGCACCCTAACTATAAAGTACTAAAACAAAAAGTCATTCTCTTACCAGTTTTAGTATCAGCAGAAGTCTGAAGAATCTTTACCATGTAACTTAAGCTTTCAGGGTTGCAATTCAATAATTTTGGCAAGTAATAATCAATTACATAAGATTTCTGATCCAGGTTTCCCTCACACAGTATGAAAAGGAGAGGAGAAACCCAAGTCTCATGCCACTTGTCAATCCAAGTACTGTCGACAGCCTGAGATTTCAAACGACTCTTATGATTTTTAAACATGGTTTCCAAGAGGTCACTTGCATAAGGTACCAATGATTGGTCCCCCATCACCTCTAACATTTGTGATGGTATAGTTTTAGCTAATGCCAAAATATGCTCGGTTCCTATGTAATCTACTAAACAACCAAGGCATAAGTACTTTCCTTTAACATGCCATTCCAATCGCAAAAGGCTCTGAGTCAGTTCAAAAATGAAACGATCAGTAGCCAAATCTGACTTTTCTGAATCTGACTCTTCGACAGTGAGCTGATGCATTTGGAGAATATTTCTGAATATGATTTTGGTTTGGTGTCTCAAAGCATCCAATGGATGTTCCCAGTGGGTATAGACATATTCCAAAAGTCTCCCAACGATGCTTGAATTCCCATTCAGACTGTTCTTTAGGCTTGGGGAACTTGATTCAAGGACATGTATGGCTGAATTAGTCCAAGATGCCAAAATTTTAGACAGAAACATTTCCAGAGTTGATTCTTTGATCCTAAAGAAAAATAAGCCACATTATTATAAACTCACTAGTAAGAGAAATTTCATTTTATAATCATTTAGACTAATAAAATACAAAAAATGATAAGAATTCAATCATTATTAAATTTACAACAAACGAGGCCAAAACAGATCTCAAATTTGTACATGAATCTTTGCATCTTGTAAAAAATAATCCAAAAAGGGACAAAGGAAAATTCTGGGAGTGATGAATATGTTCATTCTTTTTATTGTGATGATGGTTTCACAGGTATTTTAAAACATGCTAGGGGCTAGGGTTGGGGAAGATTAGGGAACAGAGTTAATGAGGTTTCTTTTTGGGGTAATGAAAATATTATGAAGTTGACTGTGTAGATAGTTGCACAACCCTATGAATATACTAAAAAAAAAACTGATTTGCACATTTTAAATATGTGAATTGTATGGTATGTAAATTATAGCTCAATAAAGCTGTTATAAAGTAACACAATGAAGAAAAATTTTTACATTCTTCTAAAATATGCACAATTTTAAAATATATATAAACTGAAAAACATGTAAAAATTATTTTACAACATTGTACTTTTATTCCTTTATGGTCATTGCTATCAAGCTGTATCTACAGTTCAACATTTTAAGCACATGATCACTTTCAGGCATTATGGCAAAAAAACCCACAAAATATAATCCAGTGAAGTCAGAAGACCTAGTTACAGCTCTGGCTCAGGTGCTTATTAGCAATACACTCTGAGGTTTAAGCATTTACTTTTCTAAGCTTCACTTTACCCATTCCACAAATTAGATTTCCTATTCTATCTATCACACACATGAGGATCACACTGATTACCTATGTTAAAATTGTTCATAAACTCTAAAGCACTCTATATACAGAAATTTTTATAGTTTAAAAAAAAAGCTAGCATTATGGGGGCCGGCCCCGTGGCCAAGTGGTTAAGTTTGCATGCTCTGCTTTGGCGGCCCAGGGTTTCACCAGTTTGAATCCTGGGCACAGACTTGGCATGCTCATCAAGCCATGCTGAAGCGGCATCCCACATGCCACAACTAGAAGGACCCACAACTAAAAATACACAACTCTGTACCGGGGGGCTTTGGGAGAAAAAGGAAAAATAAAATCTTTAAAAAAAAAAAAGCTAACATTACAGACTGAATGTTAAAATTAATTTTTGAAATGTTCACTGCAGGTTAACTTGCACCAATAATTTCTATAACTCTCTCTCCCATTATCCCATCTTCTCCTGTTCTTCATTCCCTACACATATCTCTTTTTTAATTTAGGATTATTCTGACCACTTTTCATTGAATTACTAAGTATGCTGGCTCAGCTGCCATCTTTTAAATGTCTGACAAGCAAAACAAAACATGAGACAGCAGCATCAAAACTCACTGCGAACTCAAGGTGAACAGCACGTGCACAGTATCCAAGAGCAGGGCCTCCCCACTTGGGCCCATCCTCCCATTCTGCCAGTCCAACATGGTGAGTGTCCCCTGACACAGGAATAAGAGAGCTGGGGGGGAGACATCAGCACCACAAAGGCTCTCGCAGCAGGTCAAAAACCACTCGGGGATGCTGGTGCGGTCCACTGACTGGAGGAGCAAGCTACCAATCTGAAACACACAGCAGAGCTGACATGTCTAGAGCCTCTAAAACTTTGCACAGCTATTTCAAAATATAAATCCAACATTCTCTTTCCCCCGAAACATCCTAGGAAAAATAACTGAACCTAAAGGTGAAAAAGCCACAAGTGTTGACATTATTGTATCACAAGGGAAAAATTAAATCTAAGAACATGAACCATTTTGCTGGTTTAAATGTACTGGCAGAGCACAACATATTGCCACCTGCAGGTGGACGAGCTTAACTAACGCTTTCTAGAGGTGATGTGAGAAAGAAAAACTTTTAATGTCACCCAATGATAGGTACTTTGTGTGATCTCCTAGAATAGTACACATCTATTTTGCATAGGTCAGGTAAAAAGTTAAAATAAGTTTCCAGACAACACAGTAATGAAAAAAACCTGCTGGTAGTAAAAACAAGGATGGCGGCCCAAATGATCAGACTATGCTTCCCATAAGACCAAATTCACTGAACGATTGATTCTAGGATGCTTCCTGTCTAAAGGACATTATTTGGGTTATTCTTAATAAAAAGAACATGTTTATCAAAAAGTTATTACTGTATATATCTACACATTAATCTCTGCAAAATTTTAATATTACAAATATTTTTTATAATTCTGAAAGATGGAACTGAACAAACAGCACTAGAAAAAGCTGGGATACACACCAAAAAATGTTGATAGTGATTATCTTTGTGAGATGGATTCACAGGTGACTGTTAGTGTCTTCTTTCTGTTTTATACGAATTTTTGGAATTGTCTCATTATAAGAGAAAAAGGTCAACAGAAAGATTCTGACAATGCAAAAATTTTTTTTTAATTCACTTCTTTAAAAATATTTTTAAAACATGTGTCTACCTATCAATAAAGTACAATACTAAAAAGGAGATGCACTTACCAAATCAGGAATCTTTTCAGGTGGATGAAACATAATCTTAATAAAAAGAATAACAGCTAATCCAGATGTACTCTGAACTGCCTGTAAGAGGTCATCTATTTGGCAAAAAAGGAGAGAGCATGTGTTAAATGATGATGGATATTCTGGAACAATGGAAAGAGCCGCAGGGTCAGCAGTCCCAGCTACATTTCTAGCTTGACCACCTCCTAGGTGAGCAGGCCTTGGGTGAGTTATTTAACTTCCCAGGGAGTCATCTTCCTCTTCCATAAAATGGGAAAATATATCTCCTATCTGACACAGTTGTTGCAAGGTTTAAATGAATAATGAACATAAAGGCTTTTATGCCCAGTATATAAACTCAATAAATGTGATTTCTTCCTCTCGCCTCTAACATCCATGCTCTCTTCCTCCCCATCCACGGCCTCTCAGCACATCTAGCAGCAACACCACCTGTCCCCTCCCGTCCCCTGATGCCTCTGCGCCCCAACCCCCACACACATTATTTCTTCTTAAGTGATGTCAGGGCCTGGGTAAAGAGCCTACATCAGTGCTAATTACAAACTTTGCTTTCACTGGCTCTGTAGCCAATGCAACCAAACAATCATGACCTGCTATCTTCTTCTGTTTTCTATCAGCCTCTGGTTTGTGAGAAAATATACAAAATCATATGATGAATTATTCAACCTGGGGTAAGAATTAAAAATACCTACTATAAATTACCTACTAAATGTCCATTCTGCCCTTTATTCCTGCTAACAGAACTGTGACTTTGAGTAGAGCATCCATATGCCCAGCAAAGGCAGGATACTTGCTTCCTCAACCTTTCTTACAACTAAAGGTAGCCATCCTTATGAGGGTTCAGGCCAATGGGACGTAAGCAGAAATCTTTTGGGTACTTTTGTTTTTCCTGATTAAAGGTAAAGATGCAACTGGTCCTCCTTCTTGCCTTGAACATAGACATAATGTCTGGGGCTATAGCAGTTCTAAGGCAACAAACATGTGGGTGAAAGCCAACGTGCTGAAGGTGGAAAGCAGAAAGGCAGAATGTTTGGGTCCTAGACTGCCTCAGTAGTTCTGCACCGCCTGCCTCTGACTTCCTGTTATGCGGGGAGGAGGGCAGGCAGATTTGCTTAAGTTCCTAAAGTTTGCTTTTCTGTTACTTGCAGCTAAACATTTTACTGATACATGAAGCTTTAAAATCCTGGGGAAGAATAGAACTGATAAGGTGCCATCAATTTTTTAGGAAAGAGGCTGCCTCATATTAAAATCATGTCTTCTCTGCATTTCACCAAAGTCTTTTTTTTTCAAATTAACAAATTCCTTTTTTAAAAAGCAAATATCCTCTGAAAAGACGTCCGTAAATTATGTCTTAATAAAAGCAATTTTACTTTCTTCTTAATACCTGAGATCCTAGGCAAAAAAAGAAATAACTGGACAACACGGCTAGTACTTTCACTAGTTAACAGAATTAAAAACATAAACAATGAGATACTATTTTATCCCATCAGCCTAGCAAAACCTGAGTCAGTTCTTATTCTTTACAAATAAGAGCTCTGAAGAGATCCCATTAACATTTTTAAATTAATATTCAAACATACATTACCATATAGAACAGGCGGTGAAGGGTGAAAAGGTAATTTAACTTATGTAGATATTTATGTGTTAGGCATCACTGTGTTAATCTCATTGTAATACAGAAAACCACCCAAAACAAATGTATAGCTTAATGGATTATTAAAAAGCAAACAATTGTACCCACCATCCAAGTCAAGAAATAGAACTCAGCCACCCAGCCCATAAGGCTCATCCACATGCCTCATTCTAACCACAAGCCCCCTCTCTCACCCGGAGTCAGCATGATCCTGACTTTCAGAGTAATGACTTTCTTATTTTTTAAATAGTTTTAGTAACCAAATGCACATCCCTAGATACTATAGCTTAGTCTTGTCCATTTTTTTAAAATTTGATATGTCTTTTAATCTACATTTGTCCTCTCCACCCTTTTCTTTTCATTACAATTTCTCTGTTGAAGAACTCTGGTCTTTTGACCTGTAGAGTTTCCCACAGTCTGGGTGTTGCCTTTGTTTATTCCTGGTGCAGTTCAACATGTTCCTCTGTCCTCTGCAATTTCCTGTGAATTGGCAGGTGACCGAGAGAGGGGCTCGGTCTCAAGTTCAATCCCTGTGGGAAGACCAGAGGTGGTAAAAGCAAGACTCTCAGAGGCCCGGGTCTGGTCCTCTGGTTCGGTAACGTGAGCAGGTGTTGATGCTTAACGCCTACATCAACTTACTAGAGTTTAAAAACGGTGACATTCTATCATTCCATTTTATCAGCTGAAACGCTTTTATAAAGAGACACTTCCTCTCATTAACTATTCGGTTTTCCAGTGCTACAGTTCATATGGATAGAAGCAACAAATGAGGTTTAAGGAGGAATAATGACCAGCTCCACAATGACCACTGTCATTATTTAAACATAACACTTGCTGCCGCTAAGGAGAAATGTAAGGGTCACACTAACCTCTCCAGATTGCCCTTCCAAATTTGGAAATTTCTTCTCAAAAATTTTCTCTTGCTATTTAAAGTCTGTGGCTTTTCAACACTAAGACTGTTAGGTTTTCCTCTTTGTATACAACACACACACACACACACACACACATTTAGAAAAGTCTTTCAACATTATCCCTTGCTGAATTGGTACATTTGAAAGAAAAAGCACTAAAACCTTGTAATCCAGGGCCTTTCCCCACTTTAAGGGGCTGAGGGAGGAGAAGTTTGACATCTCAGCTAAGTATCAAATATTTCATACTGTTATCAGCAAAAGGCGACTGACACTCAATTATAATTGTCATTTGTATGGTTTTACACTTACCGTCACTTACAAACTTGGTGAAAATACTCAGCAATCCACACATACTTTGCCATATGGGAGAACTGGAAATCTTCAAATGAATTCCCTGAAAGTCTTGTAGTTTCTGTACTAACATCATTGAAACTCTAATGCCTACCAACAAGTCATTCATCAATTGTGTCTGAACAATATGATTTCCGGCAAATTTTCTACAATGAAGAAAAGACATTATTACAAAAGAAAAGTCAAATAAAAATGTCATCATTTCTATCCTTCTCCAAAATAAACACATTCCAAGGGCCAAAGTCAACTTTAGACTATAGTAGACATTTATGCCTTTCTCTTCCATTCCCATAAACGTTCCAATTATGCAGACTTTATGGCAATCTCTCAACACTCTTAACTTACTTCAACATTTCCCTCTTTCTCAGCCAATGACTAACCTCACTTTTCTTTTTCAGAGTGAAAAAAACAAATCAAGAATGAATAACGCAATTTACCAACTTGAACACTCCCTCAACCTTGATACACTCTCTTCACCTGGCTTCCACGATGCCAGGCTCTCCCAGATTTTCTCCTCTTCTCCCTGACCTCTTTCTGTTAGAACTTTGCACCACTCAGTCCTTAGTCCTCTTCTTTCCCTTGATGCTGACCTCATCTAGCTCATAAACTTTAAATTATAATCTATATGCTGATAATTCCCAAATTTTTATCTCCAGCCCAGAGCTCTCTTTCTAATTCCAGGCTTGTATATGCAACCTTCTATTCAATATCTTCAGCTGGATGTCTAACAGACATCTCAAACTATACGTACTTATCTTCAACTCCAAACTGGCTCCACCTACTGGGATCTCTATCCTACAAAAACTTTGTAATCATCCTTGACTCCTCTCCTCCTCATCCCATCCTGTTGGTTCTACCTTCAAAGTATATCCAGAATCAGACCACCTCCCCTGCTCCTCCTGGCCTGAGCCACTCTCACCTCTCCCTCAGACAACTACAATAGCCTCCTAACTGTTCTCCCAGCTTCTGTCTTTGCTCCTCTCAGTCTGTTCTCAAAATGGGAGAACAGAGTGATGATATTAAAACATAAGTCAGGGAAAAAAGTTTGGGAGTTCCTCAAAAAATTAAACAGAGAATTACCATATGATGCAGCAATTCTACTCCTAGGTATAGGCCCCAAAGAATTGAAAGTAGGGACTCAAATGTTACTTGTATACCTTATTCATGTAAGCCAAAAGGTAGAAACAACCCAAATGTCCGTCAACAGATGAATGGATAAACAAAATGTGGTATATACATATAATGGAATATTATTCAGACAGAAAAAAGAATGAAATTCTGATACACACTACAACATGGATTAACCCTTAATATACTGTAAGTAAAATAAGCCAGACACAAAAGGACAAATATTGTCTTCCACTTATTTGAGGTATTAGAATATGCAAATTCAAAGAGTTAGAAAGTAGAATAGAGGCTACCAGGGTTTATGCAGAGGAATAAAAAGACAGTGAATTGGGGCTGGCCAATTCACTTAACCGAGTGGTTAAGTTCATGCGCTCCACTGCAGGTGGCCCAGTGTTTCGTCAGTTTGAATCCTGGGCGCGGACATGGCACTGCTCATCAAACCACACTGAGGCAGCGTCCCACATGCCACAACTAGAAGGACCTACAACGAAGAATATGCAACTATGTACCAGGGGGCTTTGGGGAGAAAACAGAAAAAAATAAAATCTTAAAAAAAATACAGTGAATTTTCTTTTGGACACAGTGAATTTGAGGCAGCTGTAAAACATCCAAGTTAAGATGTCCAGGAGACAACTGACTATATGAGTCTACCACTCAGGGAAGAGATCTAATTTGGAGTGACAAATCTAGGAATCCTAAGTACAGTGATGGTGCCTGACACTAAAGAAGTAGATGATATAAAGCAGTCAGAACAAACAGAATAAAAAGGACAGAACCCACATTTAAGAGATGAGCAGAGGAAGAAGAGCCTAAAAGGAGACAGAAAGAGCTCCTGGTAAGGCAACAGGAGAGCCCGGGTTAAAGAAGGCGCACAGATATTACTCCTACTCTCCCCCAGAACCTCCCTACACCAACGGCCAGAGGATGTAAACACAAAAAGACACAAACACACAAGGGCAGCAAAAACACAACAAGACGATAATAAAATTTTAGAAGCTACAAAGCAGACGGAGGAGTGACAACTGACTTAGCAGAATCAAGAAGAGTGAATACTAAGCCAGAAAACAAGCCCAGAAGCAACCTGATTTGCAGCCCCAAAAGGCTAAGAAACTGTTGGCACCAGGTACGCCATGATGTGGAGGGAAATGTAGGGCTGAAAACAGGAAGACTGGCTACAAGTCTGTTGAAGAAGAATAAGAACTCTGGATCATACCTCCAAGCCAGCAAACTGGTTTACCTCTAGAGAATGTAAAACAGCAGGCGTGCAGACAGGAAGACAGTACAAACATAAGGTAGTGACACCATATTGCAAACAGGAGAATTAGGTAAATAAATGCACAATGAATGCCAAATGCCAAGCTCTCAGCTTTCCTTCCCCATCAGCAAACAGAAGATGCTTCCACGGTGAAACCACTACCCATGCAAAAGACATAGATATTTACATCAGGGTTTCCCCAAAGAAACAGCTAGACTAGCCTACAATAAAAGCTGCAATCAAGCCGATCCATATGCACAGAGATTCAAATCAACTCTCAGTGCCCCATTCTTAAACATGAATGCTCAGCCAAGGATCACCAGCCTTCTGAGGAAGGCTTCTAGCAACAAATATAGTGACCAAAAGCAGCAAACAGACAAAAAGCAACGTGGAAGAAATAGAGACTATCTAAAGACAAGAAAATTTAAAAAAACAAAAAGAAATCATTAACATCCTCAGAGAAATAACAGGGCATACTTTCATCCATGAAATAAGAACAGGATGCTACGAAAAAGGAACATTCAAGTAGAGGAAAGAGCTCTTTCCTTTCTCATTTATTCTCATAATAACTTACCTGATTTTTAAAAGTTAAATATCAAACCTCTAAAAAATAAATTTAACTAATTAGGCCTAATATTAACGGAGAGGGATGGAAAGGAGCACATCCTGGAACCTTTTTTAAAATTTCCTCGTTCGAAGACAATGCACAACTGCAAGTGTGCACACACACATGCACAAACATGCAAATGTACAACACTTGCCTATTTTCTTCCGAGATTTCAATTAAACTCTTCTGCAGAAAATGAAGCACTGAAACACAAAGAATATAATGACAAACCAGAATTTAAAACTGTAAACTTTAACTTCAGTACAAGAAAATATTTTAAATCACTGTTACCTAAAATGATATCACAGCATAGCAGTAGAAATTTAAAAGGAAGGAGCATGAGACCTTAGTCATCTACGTGCTCTACCTAGTGCCAAGAACCGTAAAAGACCCAGTTTCAAAATGACTCATACAAGCAGTCACCTCTCAGAATGAAATAAAATAATAGGACTTACCATTTTTAAGAAGATTACTAACACTTGTTCTTCCTGTGGGGGGAAAAAATTAACACCGATAAGGAGTCTCAGGACCAAACTTAACGTCATTTAAAAACAATGATGTAATGACAGGTGTTAGCCAGAAAAAGTACTAGAAAAGAGCTGGCTTACCCAAGTTAAAGTTCTCCATACAGGAAGACAAATTGTCAATGACTTTCCTATAAGAGTATAGATCAGTAGAATCCAAGTCTTCCTGAAGTCGAGAAGTAAAACTTTGTGCAGCCTCAGTCAGAAAAAACTCAGGTAGATCATCTAGTGAGCTAGAAAAAGAACCAAATATTAAAAATCTGACAATCTTGTAGCACAAGGATATACGGGGAGGGAAGGGAACCATTACAAATGAAGGAAAATTGAACTAGACCTTCAAAATACAGCCAAGAAAATTTTCACTTTACACCGCTATCACTGGAACTTTCTGGTCTGTCACCTCTCACCTGGTCTCCCGGCTTCCACCTAGCTTCCCTTCCATCCCCCAGACTATCCTCAACAAAGCAGTCACAGCGACAGCACTAGAATGCCATGTTAGTCCTCTGGCTACAATTGTCAAACAACGTCCTTCTCAGTCAACGTAGGAACCAAAGTGCCTACAATGATTTACAAGACCCTACGCAATCTGGCCCCACCATGAGCTCTCTGAGCTCATCTCGATCCTTGTTCACTTAGCTCTAGCTACGTGGTCTTCCTCTGTTCTGACAAAGCGTCAAAGACTTTGCTCTTGCTACTTCCTCCACCTGGAACACTTTTCCCTCAAATATAACCAATAATCATTCCCTCACCTTTTTTAGGTCAATGTCAAATATCATCCTGTCAATGACATCTGAGCAAAGACATCTGAAGTGACCACTATATTTTAAACTATAACCCTCACCTCATCCTTGGTGCTCCCTTTCCCCCTTCTCTGCTTTATTTTTATCCAGAGCACTCATGCCCTCTAATTCTATGGATTTTGCTTATTTATTTTGTCTATTTTCTATGTTCCTCTTAGAATGTAACCTCCTTTCTAGCTGTTTTATTCACTGTATCCCCAATACCTAGAAGAATACTTGACACACGGTAGGCAGTCAATAAAAATTTACTGAATAGATAAATTAAACTTAATGTCAATTTTACCTCAATTAATGTAAATCAAAATCAGTAGGCATTTTTAAAAATTTTGAACAGTTCTAAAACTCTTCCAGAAAAAAATTCAAAAATATTAATATTGTAAAATATTGAAAAAGAAGAGTCACTAGAGGGATGACTTGCTCTAGTATATAGTTAAACCACATTATCAAACTATAGTGAATAAAAGTGTGGCGTTGGTATGTGAACAAACAGCTCCAAGTCTAAAATCAACCTATGTTTATATAGGAACATAAAACGTAATACGATGGCATTCCAAATATGTGGAAAAAGATCAACTATTCAACAGTTTGGGGATCAGTGGCTCCCAATACGGAAAATAAAACTAAGTTGGATCTCTACCTCACACTACATTGAACACTTAATTCCAGGTAGACTTAAAAGTTAAACAAAAACATAAAAGTATTTTAAGAAAAGACCAGCAAGTAATTTTATATACAGTCACAGAACACATAACGATGTTTCAGTCACCAGCGAACTGCATATACAACGGTGGTCCCACAAAATTAGTACCGTCCAGCCTAGGTGTGTAGTAGGCTATATCATCTAGGTTTGTCTAAGTGCACTCTATGATGTTCACACAACAATGAAATCACCTAAAAACAGGTTTCTCAGAATGTATCCCCACTGTTAAGTGACATGACTGTAATCTTTAGAGAAAGCATACGTAAGCAAGGCATGAAACTCAGAAATCCACACTAAGAAAACCATTAGTAGGATTGATTACAAAAATTTTTTAAAATTTCTATAAAGCAAACACCATAAAAGTTTAAAGACAAGTAACAAACTAAAGGAATAGGGGCCAGCCCGATGGCCAAGTGGTTAAGTTGGCACGCTCCACTTCGGCAACCCAGGGTTTCGCCGGTTGGGATCCTGGACACAGACCTAGCACTGCTCATCAGGCCATGCTGAGGCAGCGTCCCACATAGCACAACCAGAAGTACTCACAACTAGAATACACAATTATGTACTTGGGGGCTTTGGGGAGAAGAAGAAGTAAAAACATAAATAAATAAAGGAATATATTTGACACATGATCTATACAGAGCTCTTATAAATCAAGAAGACATTCTATGGTTGGCTGCCTTCCTGCAGGCATTCTCCATGCCTTTCTTTGCTGGTAAAGCCCACCTCCCATAAAAGAGGCTAGAGGTGTGAGATTCTTGCCTCCTAGTCATTTTTTACAACCAGAGGAAGAGCATATGACCCAATCCTGACAACGAAAATTGATAGGAAGTCTCCTGGGACCTTCTGCAAAACGTTTTTCTCTCTAATAAAAAGAGATGTAAAAGAAGAAATTTCCCTTTTGAAGTTGAATGCAGTAAAGTCTGTATAAGGTGCTTGTAACTGCTATAGCCCCTTGTAACTCTGAGGGAAGATATGGCCAACACAGTGGGAGAGAGATGGAAAACATCAGGATCTCTGATAATGTTGTTGACCACTTCACCAAAACCCCAGAACTGGCTAGTATCTGATCATTTGCTTTGTCACACAATAAAAAATTTGCTCAAGAAAAAAAAAAAGACATTCTAAAAAGAAAAGATACAAAGATACGTAATCACAAAAAAATGTGAAATAGTCAATCAAACTCCACACATTAAAACAATGTTCAATCTCACCCAGTAATCTGGGAAATGCAAATTATAACATAAAATTATTTTCATTCATCATATTTTAAAAGATTTAAAGACTGATTTTATAAAGTGCTGCAAAGATATGAAGAAAAAGGCACTCATTCACTGTCAGGAGTGCAACTTGAAATAGTTTTTGGGGAATATAACTTAGCAATATCTATCAAAAATTTTGACAGGTATAAATTTGGTCAAGAAATTCCACTTCTAGGAATTCATCTCAGAGAAGTACACGTATACAATTATATACATGATTAAGAATATCACTGCACCATTGCTGGAATAACGAAAACTTGAAAACAAACTAAATATCTACCAATGGGAAAGTGATTAAATAATATAGAGTATGGTACATATAAATTTTGGTACATTCATATTATAAAATATCTATAGCTGTTAGAAAGAATAAGGATTTTTGGTGGGAATGTAAAACGGTGCAGCCAAATGGAAAACAGTATGGAAGTTCCTCAGAAAATTAAAAATAGAATTACCATATGATCCAGCAATCCCACTTATGGGTACATATCCAAAAGAAGTGAAAGCAGGACCTCAAAGATGTACTTGCCCACCCATGATCACAGCAGCATTGTTCACAACAGTCAAGAGGAAGAAGCAACCCAAATGTCTATCAACAGATGAATGGATGAACACAATACGGTATGTACATACAGTGGAATACTATTCAGCCTTAAAAAGGAAGGAAATCCTATCACGTGCAACAACATGGATGAACCCTGAGAACACTAAGTCAGTTATAAAAAGACAAATACAAATATTCTTCTTAAAGGAGGTATCTAAAGTAAGCAAATTAATAGAAACGAAAGTAGAACGGCGGTTGCCAAGGGCTAGGGAGAAGAGGAAATGGGGAGTTGTCATTTAATGGGTACAGAGTTTCAGTTTCAGAGACCCACTGCACAGCAATGTGAATATACTTAACACTACTGCACTGTACACTCAAAAATGGTTAAGATGGTAAATTATACATTTTTTACCACAATTTTAAAAAAAAGAATAAAAACTATGGTGACAAGAAAATATCTCTAAGACATTCTTTACTGAAAAAACAAGTTACAGAGCAATATTTAGAGTACAATCTCATTTATGTAAAAACTAAATATCACACACACACTAAACCCAAAGAAAAGGTCTACAAAGACAGATACCAAAAGTTAAGTGATGACCTTTACTATGGAAAGGATAGGCCAGAAATAGTGAAATACAAGGCTCACTTTTCATTTTGTATACTTCTATATTGCTTAAGTTTTCACATCAAGCATATATTCCTGTACTATCTGTGTAATTAAAAATCTGTTTAAACCAAGAACAGATGGGACAAATAGAGAAAAAAATAGCAAGGTGACAGATTTAAATTTAACCAATAATTGCCTTAAATGTAAATGGACGAAACCAGCAGTCAGCAAACTATAGGTTATAGTCTGTTTTCTTAAGGCCTGTGACCTAGGAAGGCTTTCATATTTTTAAAGGGAGGGAAGGAGGGAAGCAAGGAAGGAAGGAGGGAGGGATGGAGAAAAGAAGGAAGGAAGGAAACAAAACAGAGAAGAGACTGCATGAATGAAATTGTTAGTGATATATTTCACCTCAGTTTTACCAAACCAGGAAAGGAACATCAAATATTGGTTACTTTTGCCCAAACTGAACATTTATAATGCCTAACTTCCCTTCTTTTTTTCCTTACCTTGCCAAGACCTTCTTCAAGGGATTCTTTAGACTCAAAGAAAGATAAATGCCTGCTAAAATATCCAAACAACTTCGAATAGTGGGATCACATACGCCATTTTTATTTGCCTTCTCCAGTAAAGGTACAATCTATAATCCAAAAAATTCAAAGTCATAGTAATTTTTCTTAATATCAAGTATAGCAAAACAACATGGATTCAAATACTCTCTTAAGTCTCAATCACAATGTGAAATATCTCCCAAACTGCACCAGTAAGAATACTGATTTACGGGCCGGCCCAGTGGTTAAGTTCGCACGTTCCACTTCAGCGGCCTGGGGTTCAGAAGTTCAGATCCCAGGTGCGGACATGGCACCGTTTGGCAAGCTATACTGTGGCAGGTGTCCCACATATAAAAAAGTAGCAGAAGATGGGCCCGGATGTTAGCTCAGGGCCAGTCTTCCTCAGCAAAAAGAGGAGGATTGGCAGCAGATGTTAGCTCAGGGCTAATCTTCCTCCAAAAAAAAAAAAGAATACTGATTTAAACACCTGTTTCAGTATTTAACCTTTTTAATCCATGCCCCTAACTCCCACTTTACCCTCCAGACCCACCTTTATTGAGAATTACAGACTTGTTAATGGCTTAAGGTACAGGAATTCTGTAGTACTATTAAAAAACCAGTAACACATTTAATTATTTTCCAAAAAATATTATGCAAGTTCAAATGGTAAATCCTAATACTGAAATACTAGTAAGGACAGTCTTTACATTTTAAACTAACTTTTTAAAGTGCCTGCTAAAAAGTTTTAAAGATTCAGAGTAATAGAAATATTTTTTATCACCACAAAAAAAGGTATGCACAATTATCTCATTATCCTATCTATTTACAGCTCCAATGGTGATGGTAGCCTGAATATGCCTTCTTTTGCTACTTTGAATAAAAAGATATGATACAATGAACAGAAAAAACCCCTAACCTATTCTTTAATGATACATTGATATTAAATAATCAGGAGCCAAAAACTGCCAGTTAACTTAAAAAGTCCGTAACAGCACAATAATCTTCAAGATGCATCTATGAATATCAATCCAGCCTTACCTGTTTAACATAATGGATCTGTGACACTCCATCGGTGAGTTGTACACAATGTAACAGCAAAGAAGCTAGATTTTTCCCTTCCACATCAGCCAAAGCTACATAACACATACACAAAAATTTCTTTAGTGATTTCGTAATAAATGAATGAGTTTCCCTTTATTATGCATTCTATAAAATTTAAATATTTATAAACAGACCAAAAAAAAACAGGAAGAACTTAGTCCAAAGATAGACTTTTAAGAAAACCATTTTACATCCAAAACTGAACTTGAAGAACATGGAAAATTAAAAAGCAGGAGTTTGAACATTATGTGATATGGAGTCCTAAAAACAAAAATTCTGTTTTCAACCTAGAAAAGAAACAAATGAAGTTAGAAATCACTTACATCTCAAAGTTTCAAGGTCCTGACGACAAATGGTCAATGCAGCAACTTGCATTTCTTTCTTCTTCTTTACACCCATTTTAAATATAATCAAGAGTAGTCACTACAAGAAAGAAGAGTTTAAGGCACTGTCTAACAGGGTTTCTGAATCTTAGTACTACTGACATTCTGGGCCAGAGAATTCTTTGCTGTGGGGTGTTGTCCTGTGCATTGCAAGACGTTTAACACATCTCTGGCCTCTACCTACTAGATGCCAGTAGCATCCTTCTTCTCCCAAGTTGTGACTACCAGAAAATGTCACCAGACATTGCCAAATGTCCCCTGGGGAGCAAAGCTGCTATAGGTTGAGAACCACTGGTCTAACGATTTCTGAGGAAGATTAGCCCTGAGCTAACATCTGCTGCCAATCCTCCTCTTTTTGCTGAGGAAGACTGGCCCTGAGCTAACATCCGTGCCCATCTTCCTCTACTTTATATGCGGGACGCCTAACACAGCATGGCTTGACAAGCGGTGCATAGGTCCACACCGGGGATCCTAACCAGTGAACCCCAGGCTGCCAAAGTGGAATGTGTGAACTTAACCACTGTGCCACCAGGCTGACCCCAGAAAAAACTTTTTTTAAGATCAAGAAGAGTATATTATTGTCTAAAGTTATGACCCAGTCTTTGTATTTTAAAATACAGCAAACCTTCATTTTAGTAATAACAAAAGAAACCGGCACAGTTTTTCCAAAAATAAACTGGGCCTAACTAACCTCAGTGACTTCTTACACTGACAGATCACGAGGTATCATAACACTGTTTCTTGACTTCTGCAAAGTATTTAATACAGGAAACTTCTGCATTATATCCTTCTGAGTTTGCTTATAGTTAACAGAGTTTTCGTTAACAAGGTTCTTAATAGGCTGAACAAACATACTCAAAGAATACAAACTAATAGCACCGTGCCATTCAGAGAGAAGACACTAGGGAAATGCCACACTGGGCTCCTTTCCCAGTGCAGTTAGCATTTTTAACAGTGTTTATGATGCAGACATCAGAGGACACAACATAGGAAATTTATAAGATACAAAGCTGGGAGGACATGCTGGATGATAAAATCAGGACTGAAAAAAAGCCCAATAAACTGAAATAAACTTAGCAGGATGAAATAGAAATAAACGTAAAATGCTGCATTTAGATTAGAAAAATATAACATAGAAATATAGGAAGTGGAGGCAGAGTGAAGCATAATGTGATTTGAAACAGTTCCATATGTAAGCCAACAGCACAACTGCTAAAAAGCACACTAGAAGTCAGCTAGGTTAAGGGAGCACATGACCCCCTGGTCATCCCCACAGGTAGGTGGCATGTGGAGCATTAGGTGCACTGCTAGTGGCCACATCCTAAGAAGCTATAACAAATGATGGAGCTTCCAAAGAACAACCAGATTTCTGAAGGTCCTACAGAGCTCCTCCTTCAGAGAACAGCTCAGTTAACCAAAAGTGTTTGGGCTGGAAAAAAGGGGACAGGACAAGTGCCTTAAAATAGCTGCTGGACTGTTTTGGAGAAAAGGGGAGTAGACGTCTTTTGTCCTGCCATAGGATTAGGAAAAGTCAGTGCGAGCTTCAGCAGGGCAGATTCCAGCTCAATACAAAGGAAGAACTCCATGCTCCAACTATGGAATGGGCTGCCTTTTAAGCACAGAATATCCGCACACTGGCAATATCCTAACAGAAGCTGAATGAACCCTTTTCACCCGGACTCCTGCAATAGCCTACTAACCAGTCTCCTCACTTCTGCCCTTGCTTCTGAAGAGTCCATTCTCTTCACAGTCATCAAAGCAATCTTTTAAAAACTAATCAAATCTAATTACTCTCTTGGGTTTTCCAAGGGCTTCCAATTACCCTTAGAACAAAATCCAAACTTGAGACTTTGGCCTTCAAGGCCCTCAATAATCTGGCCCTGCCTTCCTCCACATTTCATCTCAAAGCAATCTTCTCTTCACCATCTCAGGGGCTCTGCATTTCCTGATATCTCTGACTGTTAATGCTGGTTCCACCAGATCTTTGCAAAGATGACTCCTCATCATTGGGGTCTCTTCTCGAATACCCATCCTAAGAGAAGCCTTCTGTGACCACTCCATCTAAAATGCCACGAGTCCTACTCACATACACACCATTTTCATTACTTCTTCTTCACAGCACTTACTAACACCTGAAATGACATTGCCTTGTTTAATTTGTACATTGTCTGTCTCCCCTAGTAGAAAATTCCACGAAGGCAGCAACTTCAATCTGTTTTGTCCACTGTTTTAATTCCCAATTCCTAAAACATGACCTGGCACATATAAGCGCTTAATAAATATTAGATAAGTAAACAGATTAATTAATTAACAAACACTCGTCAGATGTTCTAGAAGGGACGTTTCCCTTTAACGGCAAAAAGGTGAACTACGTGGTATCTAAAGTATACCCTTTATATAAGTGACAAGCTAGGCCAGACTCTGAACAACCTATGGTCCATTTGCAAAGTAAGAAATCAATACACTGATGGCATGTGAAAAACCACTTAACAGGAAATGGCAATAAAAATGGACACAGCTAAAATGGCATGGACAAGGAAAGAATCTGAAAAGTGACATGATTAGATCTAGGGGAATAACTGCGGGTTATTTCTTACCAGAAGTAACCATTTACAAAGTTTAGAAGAAACAGCCACGGATAACCGGGAGGTGATTCTCTGGTAAATGGTGAGTAAGTTTGGAGCAAGATTTGATCTAGGAACTTTCAAGACTACACAAAAATAAGCTCGGTGCTTATGCATGCTCAATGGATGCCTAAAGGTTTGTCCTGATGAACTAGGCCTCCCCAGTAGGGGAAAATCCCGTGCCCACCGTAAGCGCTGCTTAAGTGGCCAGAAGATGCTCAGTAATTTATACCCCTGCTGGGTTCCTCTGGCTGTTTCCCTTTTGAACCCCGCTTAGCTCCCATCTACATCTTTCTGGTCGACTCACATAAATGTTCTTTGGGCAATTTCCGAACCACGTGGAGTCCGCGGAATGAGAGGTGAAAAAAAAATGGTTAAAATGCTGTCTCCACGGAGACCTAAGCGACCGGAAATCAGTTTCACAACTGTCAAATTCTCGCGATACTAAAAGACGGGAATTAGTGTGAATCGCACAGATGCTCTAGCAAAGTGACCGAGCAGAGCAGCGGAGTGAGGCGCCACCGCGGGTCTGGCAGATAGGACGTCCGGGAGCCAAACCTCGTGCCCGTGGGCGTCTGAGAAGCGTCGCAGCCGCCTGGATGAGTCCCAGAAGCTGGTCTAGCTCTACGGTGTCTCCGTGACTCGCAGCGTGGTCTGCTGTCGACTACCGGTCTGGGCGAAGGGAGGGAGCAAGAGGGCCTGAAGAGGAATCATCGCGAGAATTGAGCTAATGCGCTTTTCCAATCAGGAGTTCGTAGAGGTCGTGACGTCACTGGGGAAGGCGTGTTCGTGAGTGGATTTGGTTAGATGCCGAGTTTGAGGAGTGCCCGGTGCCCTCAACTCGGCGGCTTGGAACCCGAGCCCCTCCTTCCCCTTGGAGAAGCCTAGGCTGCGACCTCCGCACCCCTCAGTGCGTAGGAAGCACTTTTACCTCCACCCAGATATTCCGCCCTTCTCGCACTCAGCTTACCCAGCGCAGAGACGGGGAGTCTAAAGAATTTAGAGCCGGCGAGATGGGGTAGAGGATGGGACAGGCGTGGAACCGAAGTCACAATAAGGAATTTGACGAAAATGAGAAATACCAAAATGAACTAACGTATGCCGGAGTGCCTTTATTCGTTCAGCAAATAGTTAATGAGCGCTGTTGCCGGAGCGTTGCCAGGTGCTAACCTTGAGAGTTACCGCCTGTTTAGGGTACGTGTTTTACACAAATTGTTAGATGGTTCAGTCCTTTAGGAATAAATAATTAGGTGCCAAACACTACACTAGGAGCTGCGACGGGGGTAAGATCAGGAAATAGACGTGGATGCCATGTTCAGGTGCAATTAATTTGGGAGATACTGAGTAACATTCCACTTCCCCAAACCTTTCCTCCGATTGACGATTTTAAGTTTTTAATCATTACTTTTTTGAATTTTATCTCACCTTGCCTTTTTCTTCTTTGTAGATTTACCACGTGTATGTATCACTAAACAATATCTTATTTTGTTTGATTTTGAGCTTTTTTTTTTTTTTGAGGAAGATTGTCGCTGAGCTAACATTTGTGCCAGTCTTCCTCTATTTTATGTGGGACACCACCACAGCGTGGCCTGATGGGTGGTGGTAGATCTGTGCCTGAAATCCAAACCTGCAAACCCAGGGCCTCGGAAGCGGAGCGCTGCGCCACCAGCGCCCGGTTTTGAGCTTTGTTGATGCACTCCTTCATGTTTTCTCTAGGACTTTGCTTCTTTCAGCACTGCTTTTGGCATCCATCCACATAAAAGCATGTCTCTTATCACTGTAGTTCTTTTTTTTTTTTCATATTGGCACCTGAGCTAACAACTGTTGCCATTTGTTTTTTTTTAATTCTTCTTCCCAAAGCCCCGTAGTACACAGTTGTATTCTAGTTGTAAGTCCTTCTTGTTGTGCCGTGTGGGACTCTGCCTCAGCATGGCTTGACGAGCAGTGCCATGTCTGGCCCAGGATCCAAACTCAGGAAACCCTGGGTGGATGAAGCAGAGTGTGAACTTAACCACTCTGCCACAGGCGGCCCCCACTGTAGTTCTTTCATTGGCTCTTGTCTAGTATTTCATTGTTTAATATACCACATTTATGTATCATTCTACTCTAGAGATTTGGATTATTTCGAGCTTTTGCTCTAACAATGCTGTGGTGAACTTTCTGTTATATGTCAGCTAATGAGTGTGTGCAGAACTTTACAGCAATTTTTTTCTAACATTTTTAACAGGGACTTACAGTAAGAAATTCACTATACCTTGAACGGTGATACTACCACATACATAACTGAAAGAAAATTTTCTTGAAGTATTTGTTACACTTTACAGGAGCTATGTGCTCTGATATTTTTTATATTTTTTTTAAATTGTGGTAAAATACAAATAACATTAAAATTGCCACCTTAACCATTTTTAAGTGTTTTCTTTTTTTTTTTAATATAGTTTGTTGTTTCAGGCCCATGGAAATAACTACATAACGATGGATGGAGCCCAACCCTTTTTTAATCCTGGCCCAACCATTTAAAAGTGAGGGGCAGACATTGTGACTCCTCACCCCACACAATGAGGGGGTGGGCTAGGAGGGGAACAAATACAATAAACATGTGAAAAGGTGGTAACTGCTATAGGAAAAATAGGGGGAATGGAAGATGGCAGAAGAGAGGGGAGATTTGTTGCTATTTTAAATAAGGTGGTCAGGGTAGGCATCTCTGAATAAAGATTTGCACCCAGAGGAAAAGCGTCCCATATGGAGGGAACAGCCAGTGCAAAGCTGTTAGGGCGGGAGCTCGTCTGTGGGAAGAACAACAAGGAGGCCAGTGTGGCTGGAGCCAAGTGAGCAAGGGGCTAGATAATAGGTAATGAGGCAAGGGGATTTAGGTTATGTAAAGCCTTTTAAGGACTTCTACTCTAAGTGAAATGGGGAGTCATTTTGACAGAAGAATAAAAGGATTAATTTACATTTCAAAAGAGTCACCAGAGCTACTTTGTTGAGAATAGACCGTAGGGGAAGCAGGAGGACCAAAGAGGAAGCTGTTCCTGTAAACTAGGCAGGCGAGATGCTGGTGGCTCAGACCAGGGGGGTCGCAGTGGAAAGTGTGAAGAGGGGACAGATTCTGGATGTGATCTGGAAGTAGGCTAACAGGATTTTCTGAAGGATAAGATGTGAGGTATGAGGAAAAGAGTCAAAGATGACTCCAGGATTTCTGGCCTGAGCAACTGGAAGGATGAAGTCGCCACTCATAGAGTAATAGAACCAAAAGTTTGCTTGGAGTGAATTTGAATAGCTTTGAAAGAGACTGGGAGGAGAAGAATTGGCAAGATGGAGTAGAGACACCTCTACTACTTCTAGTCCACAAGGGCAAATAAATGGAGTGGTGACCCCTAGGAGAAATAGAGGCAAGGAGAAGTTTAGCTTTTAAAGATTGAAACAGTAACATGTTTGGCGAAGATAGCCTTTTGTTTTTGTAGTCACCTGGCACTACCAACTTGAGACCACTTTAAATTCAATTCTGTGCTTGAGATTTTTCAGAACACAGCATGAATTTGGGCCATGACCCTTTTTTTTCACCCCCTCAGGAAGATTAGCCCTGAGCTAACATCTGTGCCTGATGCGGGGTTGGTGAGCCGAGGAGTCGAAAGAAAGATTTCTTAGACTCTTAAGATCTGGCAGTAGTGCTCTTTTTTTTTTTTTTTTTTTAAAGATTTTATTTTTTCCTTTTTCTCCCCAAAGCCCCCCAGTACATAGTTGTGTATTCTTCGTTGTGGGTTCTTCTAGTTGTGGTATGTGGGACGCTGCCTCAGCGTGGTTTGATGAGCAGTGCCATGTCCGCGCCCAGGATTCGCACCAACGAAACACTGGGCCGCCTGCAGCGGAGCGCGCGAACTTAACCACTCGGCCACGGGGCCTGGCAGTAGTGCTCTTTTATTTAGAGAATAGTGTAGCATGGGGACAGGACCCATGGGCAGTCAGAGCTTCTGCTGCTGCCGCTTCTGCTGCCCCCGCTGGCAGGGGGACAGGGCCCATGGGCAGGCAGAGCTGGTGCATGGGGACAGGACCCACGGGCAGTCAGAGCTCCTGCTGCTGCCCTGAGTTGAGGGTTAGGGCTAAATTTAAGGCATAGGTATATGATTCATCTCTTTACAAGACAAAGGAAAGAACATGAAAAAAAAGTTAAAATGGTATCAGTGCAGGTGGGGTCTGGTCATTGGGTGATCTCATGACTTTTAGACAAGAATCAAATCGGATTAAGTAAAGGTTAGAAAGGTTAGACGCCACCACCCTAAACCAGTTACGTGAGATTGCCAGACAGCAACCAACTTAAGTTCTTGCCTTCCCCCTTAAGAGCTTCTAGGGACAAGGTCATCTCTCCTCTTCTTCCTGGTACAGAGAGGGAAGCACCTTTTATAGATATTTACCTTACAAATGTAAATGTGTCCCAACAAGGGCAAGTTCCATTCCCCAGAGCCTCCTTCCCTGTCCCAGTTTATCGAAAGCAATCAGTCCAAAACAATCCTGATGCCAAAGAGACATATCCTGGGGTGGCCAATTTCAGGTCCCTACAAGGTCATCCCCCCTTCCTTCACAAACGCAAATGTCTCAAAAGGGCAAGCAAAATTCCAGTCCTCGGAGGCTGCTTCTCATCTGTAGTTTTAAAAGTAACCAGCCTAAAATCCTCATCATGTGCCAATCTTCCTCTACTTTTATATGTGGGTCACAGCAACAGCATGGCTGATGAGTGTGTAGTTTGTGCCCAGGATCCAAACCCACGAACCCAACCACCAAAGTGAAGCATGCTGAACTTAACCACTATGCCATGGGGTGGCCCCGCCATGAACTTTCTTTAAGGAGCTATATATTTTATTTGTAAAAATGTATTCCAAGGGAGTTTTTGAAGAATCAGTAATCCTTAGTATATAAAAGTATAAAACACTTAAATGACATCTTATTATAAAAGTGGAGTACATAAAATCATGAAAAGTAATATATCCATGTTTTATTCAGTGTAGTTTAGCTTTCTAAATATGTACCCATTAAAGCAGTATTTTCCCCTCAATTGGAGAAGGGAATCTTTTTTTATAATTATTTAATGACACGTCTTCCTACATAATGATTTTTGGAATTCTTTTACATTTTAAAGGTCTTTTGAATAATTAAAATTTGACCTTTTAAAACCACAAAAAAGGGCTTTAATTGCCTACTCATTTAATACTTGTTCATAAAGATCTCGATACAAGCCAAAACTTCAGACCAATCAAAGGTAAGTTTCTCCTATAAATATTGTTTTCCATTACCAAAAAGCGTAATAGAATCTCTCAGTTTCATAGTCACCATTACATTCTAAAAAAGTGTAATTTATGGTAATCTGCCAGCAATGCATGGTGATTTACATAATTAAGGAATCCCTCATAAAAAGCTTTATTTAATAGTTTCATGTCTAAAATGAAGTCCAAAAGTATATACTAGAGCTATGAATATGAATATTTTGTTGTTAATATATTTTGTTCTTTGTTAATATAAAATAAATGTTATTTATTAATATGTTTGTCCTCCAGTCAGTGAAAGAAAGCAAAGTACTTCTATTATTTATCTATTGCTCCATAATAAATTACCCTGAAACTTAATGCCTAGAACACTAAACATTTATTATCTCACGGTTTCTGTGGGTCAGAAACTCAGTGGCTACTGGCTCACTGCTTCTGGCCACGGGTCTCTCATGAGGT